TAAGGATATATATATATAATGTGTATTATCTATTTACACAATAAAAAACATTAAACACTAATTTTGTATTTCTGTAATTGCAATTACTACGTAGATGTGACTATTAAAATAAATTTTTACTTACAATTCAGAAACCCCTCTTTTTAATAGTGGTTTGTAAATTATAATAAAAAGGAAATGAATTACATAGCAAATGAATTACAATGTATAAATAAGTATAGATTTATTTGATACAAAAATAAATTTGATATGTTTTTTGAGTTATAAAAAACGGTATTTTATAAAAAAATTGTGATTATTTTCCTTCGACATATTATTTTAACATGTCTGTTGATATTTGACTACGTATTTGAATTAATGACATAATAAATTAGTTCGAAGTTCTGTGGTTTTCTGGGTAATCTTCACATTCCGATAAATGCAGATTTCAGGAACTTTCTTCAAATCACAAACTAAAAGAAACAGTCAAGATCTGAAACAAATCGAAAAAAAAAGTATTTAAATCTGTTTCGAATCATTTAACAAAGAAGTTTTGTATACTAATCAAATTTTTTTAGTTAAGTTAATATATCTTCAATTGAATTTCATTAATCATTAGTATTTTTATCAGGTCAAAGATAAAACAAACTGATAAAATATCAAACGACATTGGTCGATAGTCATGCTAATATTTTTATCATAAATATCTGAAAACAACATAAATAAAAAAATATGTTTTTCCATTTTCCGTAACATATCATTTGTATTTGTCATAAGCTAACTGAAAACTCCAGCGCTTTGGAAATGTCACATTTTACAATGTACCAGGCTGATATGAAAAATCGTCAGTATTTTTTAATCTATCTTTTATGCTTATTAAGATCATCCTATATGTCCTTATGTTAAGTAGGAAATGTTCCAAGAATTGCTCAATCATATTGAATTAGCTTAGGTTCATTACAATAAACTCAAAATAAGGCTACTTTCATTAAGCCTACTTATTGCAAGTTATCTAAAATAAATCCTAAGAATTGAACAATGAATGATATCCTTTATAATTAGTTTAAGGCTTATTACAGTGTGGGCGCATTCCAAAATGACGACGGCTGGTCTTATTACACAATTAGCTAACACGAAACATACACTAACACGTTTTATTTAAAGATATCAACATAATATTAAACTGCACTATACCTCTTGGTTACCATGAATTTTAAAGGATTCAAATCTTTCTTGTAGGCACCATATAACAGCTCAACATCAAATAAAACATATTTCTATGATGCTGGAATTTCTTCTTATCAGTATTTCTTACTTCTGAATCTTGCTAGTTAAGGAAATAATCACGTAGCATTTTTACGTGATGAAATTAGCATTAAAAAATAAACATGTAATGCATATTTTATAAATAAACAAAAATGTAAAGGAAAAGTTATTTTATAGCAAATACAAAATAATTATGGTGTCATAAGTATAATAAAGATTTTACGAAAGGGGAAAAATAAAAATTAGAGAAAATACCACAAAATCTCAATAAATCGACTTTTCTCTTCAAGGGTGAGAAACTGAAATATATAAACGTATGAATGAAATAATGTCTTTAGAAATATAAATTAGCTGTCATGATGATATTAATAACAATATATATCATTTAAGATAAACAAATAATTGCAAAACAATAGCTACAAAATAATAAGCAAATTAACTACAGTCATAAAAGCATATGACGGGAAAAATAGCAAAACATTTATGCCAAATAAAAATGCTTAAAATGCTATAAAATATAATACACTTTGAAATTATTGACCATTGTAATTTTTAATGTAATCCAGTAAAATTATACTATTTCTTCGAAAAAATAAATACCCCAGATTTTTTTCCCCATGGAAAACTTTGTTATGTCTTCATAAATTATGCATGAAAACTCTCTTACATTTCTCCCGTTTTGAAGGGAAATGGGTGTGGTTTGAAGGTTAGAATTGAATTTCTATTATCCAGATAAATAAGGCATTGTTCCTGATGCTTTTTTTCCCACGTATGATAGAATAAGAGTAATAACGAGATGACTGGACCAATAGTTTAGAAGTTATAAGAGTTTAATATACAAGAAGTACAAATTTGTACCTGTCTCTCTTTGCTCATTTGATATATCTATCTAAGCAAGTGAGAAATTGTTTTCTATGCAACTGATTTTTATGCTAATTTAAATGAGAATACAGGAGTATATACGATTCATACAATACACGAGTCTTTAGAAACAATAGTTCAAAAAAAATTTGTTCAAAATAGAACCAATAACTCAAAATATTTGAATTATTTTAAAATAAATTTAGTTTAAAGAGTAAATAAATATCATGAATTTGTGGACGATTCAGTCTGATATTGTTTATACGAAAATTCATCCGAGTTAAAGAAATTTTTCACGGGTTAATGAAAAATGTAAGTTGGGTTATTTAAATTTATTTACTTGAGTTACGTATATTACATATTTGAAGGACTTGGGGAAATATAGTGATAAGACGTGGAAATAAAGTGATTTCAAAATTATTATTTCTTTAACATTGAAAAAAGTATATTACGCAATTAATAGAAATTCAGCATTTTAAAGGAAGATGTAATAGGTTATAACCTATATCTTAAAACCATCAAAAATATCTTTATTCATGAAAGTCTAGTTTAGTTTTTACATTGAGAAAATAAATAAAGATATATGATATTTCTTGCGATTTGAGTAAGGTATTTCTTGCAAAACTTTCCCGAGTGAAATGAAAGGGCTATAATTTTCACATAATTAACCCCGTTTATTTTTGATTATAATAAAAAGATAAAATAAATATAAGTAAAAGGATAAAATAAACATAAATAAAAAAAAATGGACATTTCAAATTAAAGTTATGGTTATGTCACTTGCATTATTTATTTACTTAATAATTTATTGTATATTTTAATTATTTATTTTCTATAAATTAGATTATAGTAAAAAAAAGCAGTGAAACTCAAGCTAGCTTTATGAAATATGTTTTAAACATAATAATAATGTATAAATAGATATAAAATTTTTTTAAAAATCACCATCGCCACTGAAGCAATTCATTATCTTTTCTTCATCTCCAACTTTTGTGACATATGTACTCGGACTTGAAAAGCCCAATTGAGAGAGATCCTCACAAGAATCTGCAGTTTCTTTATAGTGAGCTAAATGACAAAAAAAGGTAAATGTTTTAAAAAAAGTCTATCTTCTGAAAAAAGAAAAGATAAAGGGAATTTTTTAAAAATTATTAAAGCTTAAATTTTAATCTAAAGATTTTTAAAGCTTCATCTAATAACTCATAGGTTATTGCATGAGTTATAATAACAGCTTGGAAGTTTAAACAATAAATACTGTAGAACATGCATCAATGATTCATTAAAAAATGTAAACCAATAAAAAATATTTCAAGTAATTGTTAAGTAGGAATGTGATTTACTAATGGGGTGTACCTGGGCAATACAAGTATTTCGTAATAATCACCTTTAATGTACATTTTTAGAATCTTTGTGAAAAATGAAATTGAAACACATGTATTGGGGGTCTCAAATTATCATATATGAGCTATTCATAAATAAGACGTTATCGATATACATATATATATATATAATGCTCATATATATAATGTTCATATATAAGAAGAAAAAAAAACTTTATCAAAATCAGTCTAATTAACAACTAGGAAGGCAAGATTAAAAACATTAGAACTAGTTTGACTATCTCATGAAACATGAAGGAAACTTAAATCGAAACTGATAATCGCATTTTACTTCTCTTTCTCGATTCTTTCCGTTATCAAATTTATTTTAACGTTCTTAATCTCATCTTTCCTGTCACTGATTTATAAAGTTTTTATGACGTTTCTGTAGTATTAAATTGCGATTTCAATCTATATATTTTTCGAATTTTTATTAAAAACGATTCTATAAAAATATATTAAGGACAATGATTAAAGAACATCATGCACTTGTAATAAATGAGTTTGATAAGAAAGACAGGTGCTGCACGGACAGGTGTTTTCTTGCTGTTGGTTCACTGTGCTGAACTTGAAAGACAATCCTCAACAGATGAAATTACTGTTATTATTACTTTACATTTTTAGTGTTTTTATCCCTCAAATATTCACCATGAAATTTGTCCCAATTAAGATTAATTGAAGTTTGGGTTTGGTTCAAAATTACAAAACTTTGGAGTTGAATAGGTACTAACCTATTCAACTCCAATAATAAAGACGATAAACAAAACATGGAAAGAAATAAAGTGCTTGGCCAGTAAAAGGGTAAAATGGAGAATGCTATGCTCCCTATGAATCATGGGAAGCATAAAGCATAGCATATGCTACTAATACTTACGAGGCATAAGTAGACATACATAAGAGGTTTTAGTAAGTATGACCTATGCCCACTATGAAGGACAATGCTTGGTTCATAATGATTGCACCACACTTAATGATTGCATCATACTTAATGATAGCATATATATAGTGATTGCAGTTCTTTAACATGAATACCTCGCATCTCAGTCGTTTTATTGATACGAAAAATAATTAGCAGTTATTGACAATTATATCAGTGATTATTATTAAATATGAAAAAGAAAAAAACTCACGATATAGCGTGAATAACCACAAGATATTATTTAAATGAAGCATACTTACTTAGATTGTAAATGGTTATGAAGTCTTTATTTCCACAGTGTTGGTTCCCACAATTTCCACTGCATTGTAATCGATTGGCATTTGCAAATGATTTCAAGTTGTCTTCTCCTAGGCAAAAACATTTGTCTGGAATAATACCAGCTAAAGTAAACCCTAAACCTCGACAATGCTCCAAACATTCTGTGACACTAATACCTTTCTTATCTAAAATGTCTTTTGGTGGTGGTTTGCCCTTGAAGCAATTCATAGAGCCCTCTGAAATATTAAATTACCATATAAAAGGAAAATTAAGTTCATAACGAAGAAATATTTTTAAAATCAATAAGTAAGTAAAAAAGTAAACATTGGGATTTTTACTTTCAACTTTTTTTATTTACCCAAATCGTTAAAAGTTTTGATATTGAGGAAGTTAAAAAAACATTAGATAAAAAAGTATGGTTTGTTGTCTTTTTTCAGGACATAAGTTATCTATTTTTATCAAAATCAGTCACAAAGATTGCTTACAGGTGGCACTGCTGGCCGGAAAAATTATAAATCCATGTCCGCCTGGATGTAAGAATTGCTCGGGAATCTGTTAATTTTATCCTCAGACTTCATTACGTTGTTGGTTATTTCGAAAATAATGTTTTAAAGTCAGATGTGTGCGTTGAGAAATTTTTTTGTTTTTGCTAGTTTTAAAACTTGGCGAGAAAAAAAAAGTCTCCTAGTGAAAATTGATTCCTTAAGCAAACCGTCGTTAACTTAAATCACGTTGTGTTTTTTAAATTGATTTTTAAAGTTATCGATCCTTTTTGGGACATCCGGTGTTATTAAAAAGACCTAAAACTATATGAAGTAACTCTTGAGTTACCAGGTCTTGAATAGTATCCAGAGTATAGGCAAGCCTACCTAATGATACTTTATTTTGTTCCATTAAATTTTTAATGAGGAATAACTTTACGGAAAGGTCAGACGAAATGTTTAACATAATATTTCCTCAAGTTTTACACTGTCGTTTCAATCGGAAATTATTAAAATATATACCAAAAGCAACTAAACTTAATTAATTTCCAATTCTTTTTTAGGTTTCGAAAATTATTTTTTTTTAACCTGCTATAAAATAGGTATTGATAAGAAACTATAAAATAGGTACACGCTGATAGATTTAAGCGTTTAGGTATAAAATAAAATCACAAGGAGTAAAAAGTATACGTGTTTCAAATCATTGCAAGTAAGATAAAGTTGCATAAATTAAAACTAAGATATCAATTTGTGATCAATTAAGAAATAAATAAATAATGATTTTTTAAACAAAAATGTGTCAATAAATGATTTGCTGCAGAAATTATAAGTGAAAACCCTATTTCATTTCATTACAAAATATTTGGACTAGCATTTTTTTTTAATAAAGTAAAACAATCTAAATTAAGCACAAATAAAAAAAAATATTCACGTTATTTTGTTTTATTCATGCGTAGATCCTAATCTCATTTGAAAAACTTTTTATTTTTATGGTTTAATGTTTTTAAATAGACATAATTTAAAGGTAGATCAAACAGGAAATTATTGAAGAAATTAATCGTTATTATTCGTCAGGTCTCCCAAGAACGACAAATGACTTAAAAATTTAATTAAAGAAAAAATAAAAAACACAAGAAGACAGAAATAACTGTTTGCTGTACCAATGCTCTGTTCAGGAAGTTACATATATTTTCCCACAACTTTCAATATAAGTAATATTATAAAGTTTATCAACAGATGGTACTGATAACTGATAAGAAATAAATTAGTTGAATGTTTTTACATTCAGTAGAATGTTTTATAGTTTTTTTAAGTCAACAGAGCGAACTTTCTGCGAAATTCAAGTGTGACTTGGCGAGAATAAACTTAGTGGTTTTCTTAGCTGAATGCGGTAAACCTAACAATTCTATTTTATTTCTTTTTTATTTAATTAGTTTTCAAACAATGCATAATTTTTTACATCTGGTATAATAAAAAATTGGCGTTCCTATTTAAAACTAGCACCAATTTAAAAAACACAATGTTTACTTATATTTAAAATGGTTTAGTTACAACATAAACAGATTCGCCTAAAATTGTTGAAGAGCCGCGGTGGCTCAGGGGATAGAGTGCTCTTTTCCCAATGAGGTGACCCGGGTTTGAATCCCAGCGATGGCTGGTTGATATGAATTCTACTCCCGGCTCGCACCGACCATGGAGCTGGCGAAAATATCCTCAGTGTTAGAAGGATCATTTAGAGTCTTCTTGCCCGCCAGGCTAACCATGGGAGGTAACCACGAAGACAAATTTCTCCCAGTACTTGATCCAAGACTTTCCTTGTCTTCTGGGTTGGGTTTCAAAATTATAAAACTATGGAGTTGAACATAAATAGTCGTAGTCGGCTGTTCAAAGACGGTTATAAAAAAATAAAATTGTTGAACAACTTATCTAAAGTAACGAAGAAAGTAAATGAAGAAAAAAAAAGCGACAAATGGTAAAAATTTATGAAAAGTTTAATTTCGTTTACTAAAAAACAAGAAATTTAGTAAATGGGCAGAATTGAAATGGGCAGCTCAGCAATTCAGGTAAACGATTAGTCAAGTAGACACTTGAAACTCTCCAGCAATTTGTAAAATGTTTACTTTTGTCTACTAGTAAAGAATAAAACTAGTAAGAGCTGAAAATACAGAGCAATTAATAAAGAAAATATTATTTCCTTACGATCATCTAACTCTTTTCTACAAATGAAGAGGCCTCGGTTGGTACAAACTTCATCTCTCCACATGAACCCATTACTCCCATCTAACATTGCACATCGTTCGTAAACTGAATTAGGTTGAGAATTCATCCAATTACGAAACCCAGAGACGCTTCCATCTAACCACCGCCAAGCTTTCATGTCGTCTGCGTCATACTGATACAGTCCAATAAACCATCGAACTCTTTGATACGATGAACCCATACCTTGTACTGTCTAGAAAATAATAAGAAAATTTATATAAAATTCAAGGTTTTTGTAGTTAGAATGAGTTTAATTAAAAAAAAAAAACAATCAACAATCAAACAAACAACAAATCAGCTGTAACGTTATTAAACTTTTAAATTGAACTATTCGAATCAAATGAGCCGTGGTAGCCTAGCTATTAGAGAATCGGAATAATCCAGTGGGGTCGAGGTGCGATCCTTGAAACCACTAATACCCACCGAGTACATGTGTTTTTAAGATCCGTGGTATCGAAAGTCCTGTAGTCTGTCTCTGAGCAGTACCATGGGTACAGAGATTTGGAGGAAATTCCTTCCCCTTTAGATCTATGTCTAAATTGAGAAAGAAACCTCACAAATGAGTGGTGGTNTTCTGTGCCTTAAAGTAAATGAAATTCAAAAATACTATATCGCGATACATCGCTATATCGCGATGCAAAACTGACGATATATCACGATATATAATTTCTAATATCGCCCAGTCCTAGTGGTGGTGCCATTTATCCGTAGAGTTCTGAGCTAAGACGTACTTTTACTCTTGCGGTGCTCTCTTGTCAAACGAAAGGCGCACATTCCGGGCTTAATTCGTAAATGGCCGATGGCTGGAGAGCTTAACTTGTCTTAGTGTTATTAGAAACAACAACCGTTCAAATTGCACTGTAGTATCGTGCAATAAAATATAAGAAGTATGACATTACTCACCAACTAAGAACCGTATTAAGGTTGCAGCAAATTTGAACGATGTTATGGTTCAACGCAGATTAAATTTTTTTAACAGTGTAAGAAATAAACTCTTTTTGTTTGTTTATAAACTGATTCAACAACTCCTTGATTCGTAGATTCACTTGATAAGATGATTTACTTTTGTACCAATGTATTAAATTAACTAATACGCAAATTAATTGATTCGCTGGTTCATTGATTTTTTTCTTTCGTTTTTTTATACCTTTATTCATTTACTTTATCAAAGCAGTCATTGAATGCGTTAAAATATGATTAAGAGAACTAATATAAACAACTATATTTAATAATATACATTATAGAAGAGATCTTTGAAAACTAGATTTTTTTTCTACAAGTTCCCTTTTAAAGTTATTTTTTATTTTAAGAAAAACTTGATTAAAGAGTGGAATAGAAAAAAAAAGATTTTCAATCGTAATGAAACTCTTAGGTGGTCCTTAATATTCAAAAATAGCTTCATGAGATTAAGGTTAATTAAAACTTAAATGTGTCATTTATTTAACTTTTTCGGATTGACTGGGTATTTATCTCTGTTACCTTTTCTTTTCGCTTTCGACGTTTCTTCGGAAGTGAGTTTTTAGTGGTTTTTTCGCAAGTGGTATTTTTGACTCATTTCAGAGCTTAACTGAATTCAGAAACAGGAAGCATAAGAAATGTCTATTAAGAAGGGAAATATTTTTAAACATTAAAATAGAGCAGTAATATATAAAAAAAATATCAATAAAATTTTTTGTTGTTATTTTTGTTAAAATTACAATTCAAATTTAAATTTGCTTATTATGTTAAACAGCAAAAAATAATGCTGCATAAAAAGTTTAAAAATATAAGAAATGAATTAACTGCTCGTCACAATATGTAAATCAAAAGAATAACTTTGGCGAAGGTAGATGTATTTCTTAATTTGATTTCTTTTTATTAAAGTGCATTGAAACAAATTTGTGTAGTATTTTGCCAATTTCTTAGCAGACTTCAAAAATATATTCAGCTATTAAACGAATATAATTTAAACCAATAACAGGTATTGAAAATATTGATGATTTTTTTCTGATACAATTTGCGAGCAATGATTAGTTCCCGTAAATATTTCTTGTGAAGTTCAATTACACTTTTTAATTGATAGATATTATGCGAGGGATTTTATAGTAGGTAAGGGAACTAATTGCAGATCGAGTAGTCAAAAGTCTAAGCTAGCAAGCTTCTTAAGACAAGGGGATACCAATTTATGAAATCCTAGTCACTCGAAGAGGTTTTAGTATTTGCATTTTTGGAGTGTTTCAAATGGAGTCACCGTACAAATTTATTTAACAAATTTTCTTACTTATACGTTTGACTACTCGATCGGGAATTAGTTCCCTTACCTACAATAAAATCCCTTCCATAATATTTATTATCTATCGAGTAGTCATATGTCTAAGTTAGCAAACTTGTCAAAGAATTTGGGTATCGATATATGGAATTCTGGTATCTAAAAAAATTTAAATATTGCATTTTTGGAGTGTTTCAAGTGAAGTCACCGAGCAAATTTATTTGACAATGTGTTAGAATTTCAAGAGAAAAATTAAAGTGAATTCAACAACATATACATAGCTTGAATTTTTATTCAAAAATTATGGTAGATTAATTGGCTGTAGTCTGTCTCTCCAGTTAACCGTTAAGGACTAAGGTTAAGAAATTTTTTTAGCTTTACCGTTTGGGAACCATTTGTAAATGATATTACAAAATGGTATGGTAAGAAATAGGGAATGCTAAACTATAAGGATTTGTAACCATTTATAACTCCATGATTTTAATCCGTACTAATGAAATTTAACCCGGCATGGGAGTTAAGTCATGTTAAGATTTTTGTTAGATAAAGGACAAAAAGTTAGGTTGTTTTTTGTTAAATTAGGTTTAATTAGTAAATCTGGTGATCCCATCTGCCTTTCTACCGTGAGAGATAAGAAATACTAGACCTTTTCGTTAAGCGTTTCTTTGGTGCTGGCATCTATGCGTTAATGAGAGTTTCGTATTCTAATGCTCCAGGGTCACCAATTGAAACTGGAAACATGTGTTAGAAGAATAGAAGGAATATTTTGGTGCTGGAATTCGAACCGCCGTTCAGTCAACCAATGAGATTGACAGATCAGCCCTCTCGCTAGGGTATGCATCTAACTTAGTTGAAACAGATAAAAAGTCTGGTTGTTTTAACCGTAATATATTAATGAACAATTTCCTCACAGTTAACAGTTTAAATAACTTATTTTTTGTGGTTATTTCATTGTTTTGGTTCAATGTGGTAAAACTACAATTAAATAAATTGCTTTTTAAATCATTTTTTTTTCGAGAAATTTCTAACAGTGCATCTGATTTAGAGACCAATTTATTCTTAACATACGGTATTATAAAACCTAAAATAAATTATCTTTATTTAAATTTTTAATTTATTTATTACAATATTTTTTAAAGAATAGTTTCTTTAATTATATTCACATTTTTCGAAATTAACTCACATTTTTCAAATTAGAGAGAGCAGCAAACAGAGGATGATATTATTGATTAGTTGAAATAGTCTCGCTTTATCTGAAATTCATTACAAACACAGGCTATTTACCTTATGATTCGTCCATGCACTGTCAAGTACTAGCGAAAACATAGGGTTTTGGGTGGGTATTTGATAATTTGCTCCAGGACTGTATTTGTGGATTAAATAATGAGAATAATTTTTAATCAGTCTAATCTCAAATTTTTTAAGCAGTTTTCTCTTTACTTATTTATTTTTTTAAAGATGGGTTTGAATTGTTTAGTATTATTCACACGAGCTTTTTTTCTTTTTTTAAAATTTTTTTGCAGAAGTTATCTGTTTTAAAACTGGTATATCACATAAATTGAATTTTACTTGCTTTTTTAGTACGTGGAATGCAATTTATTAACATATACTAGTTCTGTATGGTTATACTACTTTCTTATTTTAAAATAAATTATCGCAATATAAGAAACTTATTACTTATTGAAATTGTATCATAAATGCAATTTATTAACATATACTAGTTCCTTATGGTTATACTGCTTTCTTATTTTAAAATAAATTATCGCAATATAAAAAACTTATTACTTATTGAAATAGTATCATAAATGCATCTTACTTTAATAATAAAACCATTTTCAGATGGATTTCTGATACTTGCTAAAAATCCTCCTTGCTTATAACAAAAAGTTTGTGCTTCTTCATACTTTTGTCTGTTAGTGTCCGAAAACATAAAACATACATTTTTGAAGGTTCTCCAAGGTTTATCACATTTTTTCTTTTCAGCATTATCTGAAAAATAAGAAAGACGCGAAGAAAAATAATAAATTAATAAAATTAACGAATGTAAAACAAAGTTTAGTCGTTAGTAAATCATTTGAATTGATTTTATGAATATGATTTTTGCCGCTAGGTTGCTATAGTGGAGAAAGTCTTCATCTTTCAAAGCTTGGACTAGGCTACCCGTGGCAAAAGTTGAAAGTCTGATCGAATAAGATCGTATCTGATCGTTTGTTAGCTGCTCTAAATCAGCATTATACTCGGTGGCTTAATAGTCTGATAGTACACGCACTTTACGTGGTTGTGAGTATGTGAGTGTAGACTGAGTAGTTACTAACACAATCTGCTTTTTTGGTGTACGTTGTAGTAAGAGAGAGTATTGTTTTTATATCCCCTGTTAAAGAAATCCTCGACAATAACCCAATGATGTAGCATGCAGTACTAGTGTAACGTTAACTGTCAAATTAGCAGTTAGATTTTGTATTTATTGCGTAAGCAGTTCTGAAATTCAGAAAAATTAAAGGAATTAACTTCCGTTCAAGGGAAGTATAACAAGTTTAGTGACCTCCGGGTTTAATTATAGTAATAATTTATAACTGTTTGAAATTGAAATAATTTATTGTAATTAAGTTGAATTCAAATATGACTGACTATAATAAGCATCATAAAAAAATAAAATAATTTTAACTATCATATGCGTAATATCAAGCAAAAAAAGTAAGTCAAAGTGCCTTACCTCTTTCAGGACGGCATCGGTCCATTAAAGGTTAGCATTATCTTCAATCTTAGTTTTCAACCGTCATTAAAAAATTGTAAGTAACAAAGTCTTAAATCATTTCTGAGTTTGTTTAGTTATTCCCTGTTTAATACTGATAATAACAAAAACTACTCTAGCAATTTTCTATTTCTTTTGAACTAAGTATTTTTTAAAAATATCTTTAATTTAGTAAAAGAAAATTTAGTAGTAAAATATTATTTTCAAAATTCTTTATAAATATTAATAATATTAATAATAATTATATAATACTAATTACCTGCTCTTGGTATAAATATAAGAAACGTTACAAGAAGCAGCCATTTTTTCCGAGTAATTTGCCCGGTGTCTACTTCAATCTGAAAAATAAATAAATCAATAAATGAAATAAAGAATATATAACTACAGCATATGAAACTTATTCATTATTATGGATATATTTGTATTTCTTATAGGAAGAAAATAGGACTGTTTTAATTTTAAAACATAGTTTTTTTACAGTTATAGTTTTTTCCCCCCAGGTATAAACAATACGATAGAAATGCGTTGCACAATGCGTTGACATGCATAGAGATAGAATAAACCTTAATAAATTCAAAAATATTGATATAAAATAATAAAATAAATTAGGAAACTGCTTCTTAAAGTAAGTAGCAAACTAACGAAAAAAAATAATTCTGTTTTTGACAGACCGAATACAAAACGCGTAGGTTGAGGTATTTTAAGCGCTTTTTTTCTTAACGTTAATTTCGACAAGGCGCATGGTTGCTCGGAGAAAAAATTCTGATAAAATTACCGAACTGTATGGTAGTAAAATTTGTGGTAAAAAAAACAACAACTAATAATTGTGGTAATAAAAACCAAAATGTATGCTATTTACTGTAATGATTTACTGGAAATTTTGGCTTCCAAATTTAAAGTTATTTTTACCGCACAACTGAAAAGAAACTAATCATAACAACTGATTTAAATTTTGTATGTGAAATTTTGTAGTAAATAGTATTTCTCCCCAATCCTTATCTTTTTATTTCTTACTCGAAGAAAAAAATTCTGGTAAAATTACCTTATCGTAAAGTAATGACATTTCTGGTTAAATAAAAATCATAATTCTGGTAATAAAACCAAAATATACAGTATTTTAACCATTCAATTGATGATTTTTCCTTTCGCATGGGAAAGGTTGGTCGGAGGGTAAGATTTTCAAAATTATAGTTCTTATTACCATGTATTAAGTAAAAAGTACAAAACTGAAAAATAAATTTAATCCAATGAATGGTTTTTGTCCCATGCTTTAACGTATCATATCATGATGAAATTACCAAATTTTTATCACATATTATAAAACTATATTTTACTGTAAATTTTAACAAAATCATTGCCGAAGAGCTTCGGTAAAAATTACCTAGCTTCTTCCTGTTTCCATAAAGCCATAAATATAGTAAATTTTAGTTTTGACAATCTCTTTTTTCTTAGTGTGAACTCGCTGAATGATGCACTGCAACTGATGCAATTCTCTCACCCCTATCTACAATCATTTTAGAGGAAGGAACTCTAACTGAGCAGCTTTTCTTTAGGCAGTGCTGTAAGTGGTCTCATTTCTCTTGGACATATTCATTTTACTAAGCCTATATACTTTTTTTTTTGCTATTGCTGAAACGCTAGAACGTTAAGTGTGAGGAGATGAAATTTGGTAGGCATCGTATATGCTTTTTATATACTAAGTAATCTTTGAAGTTTCGGAAAATGTTTCTATTTTTTCAGATTATCACAATTGTGTTTTCTTTGTGGGCGTTTTTTAAAAACCTCTAAATCCATATTTAGAAATTTCTCATAAGTAATCAACATTTACATTTAGTATACATTTATTTTAATGTTTTTTTTTCACACATAAGTTTCGTGTTTTTTAGACAGAATTAAGAGAATTATTTCCTTGTAATTGTGTTAAGAAATAATTATTAATATTTTTCCTCTGGGTATAATTAAAAAATAATTACTTATGATTTTTTAAAATACATTTTTTTGTTCATTTGCTAAGGTAGAATAAAATAATTTTTATCAAATATCTGTAACAAAAGCATGTTTTTGTCAATGGAGTATTTATTTGTCGTCAAAAAGTGAACATTATACGAATTTTCAATATTATTTAAAACCGTGGCATTTTATTGAATACAAATGAATGAGTGACATAATTTTTGAAAACATTCATGCAAACTACCAAGTATTTGTTGACTTTGATGAAACATTTTATGTTATGCGCAGAAAGGAAAAAAGTTAATATGTTTTGTCATAATCGCCACTCATAAAAATGTGTTATAAAGATGAGAATATAATGCTGTTATTCTTCCAAATACTGTTCGTATTTTCTGCGTCACTTCTGCTTTTGTTGTTATATTTATCAATAGAAACAAATTTTTTTACTTTGCTTTGTTAAAATTGCACAGGGAATACTCTTGAACCATTACTGAACAACATAGTTCTTAGGTGACCACTTCGAAATCTTGATATAACCGTCTGATCCCGCCTACTGCCCTGAAGGGTCAGGTTGCCACCTGGGCGGTTGCACTGATACCAATGATGAACAGGAGGGGCCACAGGATCACGAAGCCTGTTAAAACGGGAGTGGAGCTCCGAGAAAGTCAGAGATGCCGAAGAATGCAGGGGCAGATCAGTTCCGCTCTTAGCCAAGGAGTCTGCAATCTCATTACCCTCAACATCGACATGAGATGGGATCCATTGCAAGTGTATATTATGGGAGAAAGAAAGGGTCTTCAGCTTGTTTAAAATTGAAACTCNTTGGTGTACTTTGTAGTAAGGGAGAGTATTGTTTTTGTATTCTTTGTTAAAGAAATCCTCGACAATAATCCAACGATGTAGTATGCAGTACTAGTGTAACGTTAACTGGCAAATTAGTTGTTAGATTTTGTATTTATTGCTTAAGCAGTTCTGAAATTTAGACAAATTAGGGGAATTAGCCTCCGTTTAAGGGAAGTATTACAAGTTTAATGACCTCTGGGTTTAATTACAGTAATAATTTATAATTGTTTGAAATTGAAATAATTTATTATAATTAAGTTAAATTCAAATTTAACTGACTATAATAAGTATGATAAAAATAATAAAATGATTTTAACTATCATATGTAATATTAAGAAAAAAAAGTAAGTAAAAGTGCCTTACCGCTTTCAGGACGGCATCGGCCCATTAAGGGTTAACATTATCTTCAATCTTAGTTTTCAACTGTCATTAAAAAATTATCCGGAACAAAGTCTTAAATAATTTCTCAGTTTGTTTAGTTATTCCTTGTTTAATACTGATAATAATAAAAACTACTCTAGCAATTTTCTATTTCTTTTGAACTAAAGTATTTTTAAAAAAAATCTTTAATTTAGTAAAAGAAAATTTAGTAGTAAAATATTATTTTTAAAATTCTTTATAAATATTAATACTATTAATAATAATTATATAATATTAATTACCTGCTTTTGGTATAAATATAAGAAACGTTACAAGAAGCAGCCATTTTTTCCGAGTAATTTGCCCGGTGTCTACTTCAATCTGAAAAAATAAATAAATAAATGAAATAAAGAATATATAACTACAGCATATAAAACTTATTCATTATTATGGATATATTTGTATTTCTTATAGGAAGAAAATAGGACTGTTTTAATGTTAAAATATAGTTTTTTTATAGTTATAGTTTATAGTTATAGTTTTTTTCCCCAGGTATACGCAATACCATAGAAATACGTTGCATAATGTGTTGACATGCATAGAGATAGAATAAACCTTAATAAATTTAAATATATTGAAATAAAATAATAAAATAAATTAACAAACTGCTTTCTTAAAGAAAGTAGCAAACTAGAAAAAAAATGAAAATAATTCTGTTTTTGACAGATCGAATACAAAATGCGTAGGTTGAAGTGTTTTAAGCGCTTTTTTTCCTTAACGTTAATTTCAACAAGGTGCATGTTTGCTCGGAGGAAAAAATTCTGTTTAAATTACCGACATGTATGGTAATGAAAGTTTCGGTAAAAAAAAAGAAAAAAAAAAACAACAACTCATAATTCTGGTAATAAAAACCAAAATGTATGCTATTTACTGTAATGATTTACAGTAAATTTTGGCTTCCAAAATTAAAGTTATTTTTACCACACAACTGAAAAGAAACTAATCATAACAACTGATTTAAATTTTACATGTGAAATTTTGTAACAAATGATATTTCTCCCCATTTCTTATCTTTTTACTTCTTACACGAAGAAAAAAAAAATTCTGATAAAATTACCTTATCGTAAAGTAATAACATTTCTGGTTAAAAAATCATAATTCTGATAATAAAACCAAAATATACAGTATTTTAACCACTCAATTGATGATTTTTCCATTCGCATGGGAAAGGTTTGTCGGAGATTATGATTTTCAAAATTATAGTTCTTATACTTAATAAAAAGTACAAAACTGAAAAATAAATTTAATCCAATGAGTGGTTTTTGTGCCATGCTTTAAGGTATCATGATGAAATTACCAAATTTTTATCACATATTATAAAACTATATTTTATTGTAAATTTTAACAAAATCATTACCGACGAGCTTCAGTAAGAATTACCTAGCTTCTTCATGTTTCCATAAAGCCATAAATGTAGTAAATTTTAGTTTTGACAATCTCTTTTTTCTTAGTGTGAACTCGCTGAGTGATCCACTGCAACTGATGCAATTTTCTCACCCCTATCTAGAATCATTTTAGAGGAAGAAACTCTAACTGAGCAGCTTTTCTTTAGGTGCCGCTGTAAGTGGTCTCATTTCTCTTGGACATATTCATTTTACTAAGCCTATATACTTTTTTTTTGCTATTGCTGAAGCGTTAGAACGTTAAGTGCGAGAAAATGAAATTTGGTAGGCATTGTATATGCTTTGTATATACTAAGTAATCTTTGAAGTTTCGGAAAATGTTTCTATTGTTTCAGATTATCACAATTGTGTTCTCTTTGTGGGCGTTTTTTAAAAACCTCTAAATCCATATTTAGAAATTTCTCAAAAGTTATCAACATTTACATTTAGTATACATTTATTTTAATGTTTTTTTTCACTCATAAGTTTTGTGTCTTTTAGACAGAATTAAGAGAATTATTTCCTTGTAATTGCGTTAAGAAATAATCTAATATATATAATTCTCTCACGTGGCTCCCAAATTTTGGCTGTATTTCTTTTCCACCGGTGGCAACGTTTGCTTTATTTTGTTTACGTTACTATTTCGTTTACACGGCGAATCGACCAATGATTGCCGCTAAAAATGTCACATGCCAAATCTAGATGAGGTGACTCAACATATAGCGCTTTTGAAAACGGAAACTGAAATAACCAGACAGCATCAGCTGCGGCAATTTCATACTATTAAGCTAGGCAGAAGTGAGTAGTCCTTGTCGATAGATCTCTATTTTAGTATGTTGTCGAAAGCGCTTTTTTTCACGAATTTATATATTACGAATTTATTTGACGATTTTTGATTTATACCACGAATTATACTATAGCACATTTCTAATAGGTTTAACGAATTACCTGTCATTTATTTGAATTCAAATTTATTTTAATGACCTAATATTTACTAAAAAGATGTAATTTTTTTTAAAAAAAAGTTTTTATATGGATTTGAATGATTGTTTTGAATTCTTAGAATTTTGTGCATTTCCAATGTACCTAAGTTAGTAGCCAGCGAAGCGAGCTTGGTTTGCGAAGCAAACCATATAAGATTGCGTAGCAATTTTCGGGGTTGGCGAGCGTTAGCGAGCAGGGGGCGCAGCCCACTAGTTATTAATATTTTTCCTTTGGGTATAATTAAAAAATAGAATTCCTTATAATTTTTTAAATGCATTTTTTTGTTGGTTCGTTAAAATAAAATAAAATAATTTTTACCACATATCTGTAAGAAAAAGCATGTTTTTGTTAATGAAGTATTTATTTGTTGCCAAAAAGTGGACATTATACGAATTTTCAATAATATTTAGAACCGTGGCATGTTATTGAAATGAGTGAGTGACATAATTTTTGAAAGCATTCATGCAAACTATTAAGTATTTATTGACTTTGATGAAACATTTTATGTTATGCGCAGAAAGGAAAAAAAGTTAATATGTGGTGTCATAATCGCCACTCATAAAAATTTGTTATAAAGATGAGAATATAATGCCGTTATTCTTCCAAACACTGTTCGTATTTTCTGCGTCACTTCTGCTTTAACTGTTATATTTATCAATAGAAACAAATTTTTTTACTTTGCTTTGTTAAAATTGCAATCCATGTCAGAATATTACAACTTCAATGTTATAGTTATTACATAATTGACTTTGAAATTTGAAGGTGCAAGAGTATTTTTGAAATTTTTGAAAATTTTAACACAACTTTTCCAACACAATACAATTTTCCAAAATGTCTGCACTGTCAAAAGCTCCGGATCAAATTCCGGTAAAAAGTACCGGCACTCAGACTGTTGGTACTTTTTACCGTAAAATCTATTTTTACCGGAACATGTTACGGAACAAAAAATCAGTTATTGAGTAAATTTTAGAGTAATAATTATCGTAAATTTACTGAATTTTTATATTTAAGCAAATATTAAGGTAAAAACAGGATTTTACGATAAAAATGGATTTTTCAGGGTGAAAATGGATTTTGCAATAAAGAATTTTTGGAATAATGCACCCAAAGTATCTATATTTTATACCATAATTTGATCCCAAATTCTTTACAGTATACTGAATACATTATTACAAGAAATAAGCCAGTTATAATTTTATTATTTACGCTATGAACCGAACTTTTTTTTTTTATCGGCAATGTCTTATTTCTCTCTCCTTATTAACATAGGTTTACTAATCAATTGCATGATAATTAATGCATAGGTCATAGCATACAGAAGGGCGTAATGTTTAAAATCTTTTTTTACCAAGCTGCATAAAAACCTAATAAGAAAAATCAAATGGAAAGTACGTGTGAAAATTGTACAAGACTTTTTTTCTCTCCTTTTCATGTTTTATTTTTATTTTTCAAATATTGTTTTGATTTCTTCCATTTCATATATATTCTTCATATTTGTATACACTCTAATTAATACTCAAATTAAGCAAAATAATATCTATTTAAAGCAAAACTATGTTCAGTATTTTGTTGTGGAATTGAAAAAAAAAACAAAAAACAAACAAACAAACAAACAACGTAAGTACTTTACGATAAATTACGAGAGAAACATTTGACAACTATTTTCTTTCCCTTGCATATACTATATCAACACTAAAATATTATTTCAGAAAACTGAAAAGAAAATTGACTTTTTAAAAAAATGTTTGAAATGATTAACTTGTTATACAAACATGCCAAAAATATAAAAATCATTATTTTGAATTTTTTGTTGCTTGCGTTGATTTTTACATTGCATGGCATTATTAGGGTAAAGTTGCTGTCGTTGGGTTTTCGATATTGATTTTGTGTATGCCTACGCAATTATCACTTTCCCTACTACGCATACCTTGGCCTATTCATTGTAATTATAAAATTTTGAGTATACGTTGAAAAAATAAATATAAATGTCATTGAACTTAATGAAAGAAACCTGTCACCTTCATTGGGCCAAATCATTTCTAGGAATTTTTCTTTATTAAAGTATGTTTAAAAAATATATTATTAATAATGGAAAGTGTTTAAAAAATATATAATCAACCTCTGTTACTTATGAGTGAAAGCATAATTGCACCATTTTTTTGAGAGATTACAAATATTTCAAGATTTCCGATGTGTGATTATATGATCTAAGAGAAATGAATTAGATTATTATACAAGTTAGATTCAGTTACCCTATATTTGTTATTACATATTAATAAACAGCGGCATTTTTTTCATTTTTCTCAAAATGTTATCCTGGTGAATGTTTCTCTGGTCGGGTCACCAGCTGATTAATAGCAACCGAGCTGGTTTATTAATAAGTCGTCAGTTATTGATGACCGACACTTCACTTTCAGTTTAGACCGTATATCGATGGCTGACCGTATAAAATATGATATAGAACTAAAACAGTTATATTGTTTTTAGCAATTACTGAAAATTTATTTAATATTTTATTTTTTATTTATTTTAACACGTAGTTTTTATTTATTTAATATTAATTTACTTAGTTTAATAATAATTTACCTTGTCAAATAATAATTTATTTGTTAAATAATAATTTACTTAATAATAATTTACTTAGTTAAAATTTATTTAATACTTAGTTTTTATTTATTTTAATCTGTTAGTAGTGCACGTTGTATTGCTATACCACAATAAGAGCATGGCTAAGCAGCGTGCTTGGTCTGCCGCAGATTTCCTTAAAAATACGCTTAGCGATTAACGCGTTAAAAACAACTAGATATCGGCATCGAATATGTTCGTAAAATCTTTCACATAGTAAACAACTATTGTTTACTTTTTTAAATTACAGTATGGCTGAAAAACGCTGATTAAACGCAGTTTTAAGTATTATACGTAACATTTAAAACGCTATTAAAATTTTAGTGACATTCAATTTGTTTACATTCAAAATATTAAGAAGAGCATAAAATTCTTGTAATGGAAATTCGCTTGAGGATCAATTAACTCACAGTCAAGCTGGTGTTTTTAAACTTTATTAAATATTATATAGTAAATTTTGAATACGGTAAGTGATATGGTTTTGTCACCTCCCGAAAAAAATCAATATACTGCATTAAAGGAAGCACTCGCACTCATTGCTCATTTAAGTGATTCCGAAAGTGCTCAGCTAAAAAAACTCTTCTCCGAACTAGATCTTGGCGATAAGCTCCCTAGTCAGTTGCTATGTGAAATGCGGAATTTAGCGATGGGTAAAGTAAATGAAAATGTTTTAAAACCGCTTTGGTTACTTCAATTGCCGCAGCAAGTTCAAGCCATTTTAGCTGTCAGCACTGAAGCTCTTGATAAACTGGCTGAAATGGGCGATAAAATTTTAGAAACTTGGGGCAGGTACCAGTGCGTTGGCTGCCTATAGAAATTCAGAAGAGACTAAATCAGAAAGTCTGAATTTATCAACAATATTAAAATGCAATTCTAAAATGTAAGAATTAAAGTTGTAGTAAAAACAAACTTAAAGTTCATAAATAATTATAAAAATAATTTATGCAGAATATGATGAGTAACGTCACGTCGCTTCATACTAAGCAGTCAGCAGAAAGTGCCTGTTTCCAATAACTACAAAATAATGGTGGTAAACAAACGAAAAAATCCAGCCCATTGATAGCAAGGTTATCTCGTATTATTTCGAAACACATTTTTTATTTTTGAACTTTGATTAAGTATGTTAAAAATTGCCTTAACATCATTAATTTAAAAAAGCTTCTATTTGTAGTGCTTAACTTTGATCAAAATTCGCAATGATCAAAATTTTCGTTAAATATAAGTTATGGTAATTCTACAAGCTATTGGTGTGGATAGAAAAAATAAAATTCTAGCTAAGAAGAATAAGACGTTAAATTTAGATTGCTGTGGTTCACATATTGTGGCTCACATATTCCAGAAGAATGTATTATTATATTATTATAACCGTCGTTGAGCAACTGACACAATTTTTTCGGTTTACGGCTACTAATGTTCAACTCCGTAGTCTTGTAATTTTAAACCCAATTCAGAAGACAAGGGAACCCCTGGATCAAATATTGGGGGACATTTGATTTCGTGGAGGACTTTTGATGGATCTGCGAGGAATTAAAATAAATTATAATTTATTTCACAAAATACATTTTTGTCTTTATTGCGCACGGCATCCTTAAATAATTAATATCTATGCATTTCATTGAGCTAAAATAATAATAATAAAAAAATAACCAAACGTTTATAACGAATTTCTTAAATTCAGGTGGGAACTTGCAACTCCAGAAGAAATAAAGGGATTATGCTTAACCATCTGATTTTTAAATCGGGCTTAATTGGATGCATGTAAGTAACGTCGCGAGTGTCAAACTTGATTCATTTCTGAAACAACAAATGTCACGATTTACCTGCTATGACGTTATTTGCTGGTAGACAATTAAATACGATAAAAGAAAACAGTGAAATCATCAGTTAAAATTAGTAGTTAGTTTTTTGCCATAGTAGAAACCGTTTGGACTAGTGTTACCATTTTGCAGCGCATTGGAAGAAAAAAAAACATGTTGCCTTTGTATATATTTTAACAATAGAGAGAAAACCCTTTATATATTTCACTGAAAATTTTTCAAAATAAATAAATAAATTCGTGTGCTTGTTGGTGAGATAGCTTAAAAATATCAACGAAAGATTGCCAACTCAAAATATATGCTTTTAGAATCCTTGTCTAAAATAAAATAAAAAAGTATGAATGTTAAGGGTTACAAACTAAAATTTAATCGAGTGAAAAATAAAAACCCAATCAAGATCTAATAATTCACTACTGAGTAATGTGAGATTGAAAATTTCAAAATTTGTTTGATTGCTGAAAGAAGCAGAGAAGAATTTGATTAGTTTTAAGTTTCATTGGGTAGATAAAATCAAGCTGTTTTTTTTTTATCCTGCATTCCTCAGCAGTGATTTCATAACGTTTTTGTTTTTCCTCGTTTGAATTCTAATTTGAGATCCCCGTTGTGCATTTTTTTTTTAAACTTTTATTTTCAGCAAGGATTCTAAAGAATTTTATTAAGAGTGATGATTATTGAACATCTAGTATTTAAACTGTCTTAAGCTTGTTAGAGTAAGCATTTTCCAGCAATCTGAGATTTCAAGAACCTAATATGAAAAGTTCCATGCAAGTTGATGAATAAACAAGGACACGTATTATACACAAAAATTAGTTGTTTATTATTTTCTATTATTCTTATAAATGATTCTACCTATACAGTTAGTGGTAAAATTTATATTAACACAGGCATTAATAATTTGTTGCGTTTGCAAATTTTTAAAACAGTTTGTTAAAAACGTTATGGGTCATTAAATACTAGATTCGATTCTTTTAATATAATATGAAAACCGTAGATGATTATTTCTGTATAATTCTTAACTTTTTTAAGAAAAATGACTTATGATAGAACTTAGAACTGATTTCCATTATTTTATTTTTCAAAATTATAAAAAGCTATGAGTGTTTCATAATGAAGTCATAAAGTTATTTCTAATTTAATCATAGTTCATTTTAATTATCAGCAAATAGAAACTTTTTTCTAAAGTTCAATTGAAGTTATTAGTTTATTTTTTTTACACATTCATTACATTTTTGAGAAATTGATTAAATTTCGTTATTTTATTTTAATTTAAAACAGATATATTAAGATTTTGTGTAGAAATTTCAAAAGATATTTTTAAAATTTTTGAAACGATTCAAAAATTTTTTAACATATACAAGTGCATTAACTATTATATTATTTATTACGTAGTATTTAACAAAGTAATTTAGGCACTATTTCTTAAAAATGTGACTAAATATTACAACAATTTTAACTTGGTTTTATTTAGCAATTATTTGCTGAAGTTTTTGAAGTTTAATTATTATTAATTAATCATTAAGTCAACAGTAGACCATTAAAATGAGTTTTTGCTATTTTTGATGCTAGGTAATGCTTTTCTGAGTCAGTTATGTATATACATTAAGTTATGCTTTTTAACTAATGAATCTTAATAAAATTAAAATGTAACTAATTTAACTACAACTGATTCAAAAAGTCAACCACTAATTTTTAAAAAATAATTTCAAATTTTGAAAATATTTAATCATGGATAAGTTCACATAAAATACTTTTGAAAATATTGCTTTTCATAAGAAGTAGATAAAAATAGGTTTAGATAGATAAGGTTAGATAAAAATAGAAAAAGTAAAATAACATTTCTTATATTTATATAGGAAAAGATATAAAATGCTCTTATTTAAATACTTAACATTTCAAACTATAAGCGTTGAAATAATTTTCGGTAACATTTATTCTAGACATTATCTGTGACATTAAAACTGAATTAAAAGTGCGGGAGACATTTTTAATTATACGCTGATTAACAAGAATATTAATTAATATTTCAATATTTCTTATGATACGTGGTATACATTGTAAAAATTACAGTAAAAAGTACCGACCACCACACTTACTTTTTACCGTAAAATCCATTTTTATGGGGAACATATTACGGAACAAAAAATTTATATACTGTAATTTTTTAAGTAATAATTGCCATAAAGTGACTAAATCGCTCTAATTAAATAAATTTTATTGCAAAAATTACGGTATAATATTTTACGATAAAAATGGATTTTACGGATTATTCACCTGTACTTTATACCGTAATTTGATTACTTTTGAATTAATTGAATTTTTTTACAATGTATGAGGTATAGTTTACTCTAAAGAATTATGTTTCTATTATTTATACGTTCAGTAAAATATTAAAAAAATCATTTTTAAGACATTTTAAATATCCCTTGTCCCCTTAAGTAGTTAGGTTTTTAGGCATGGAGGCAAATTCACACTTACCATTGGATTTAGAGAATGCTACTTTAATATTAGCATCAAAGAATAATTGTAAATATTAAGTTGTACAGTATAGCGCTCATTTGTATCTCATCAGCTAAACAAGCTTATGATAAGATAGTTGGGATATAAATCCATCACAATTATAAAAAGTTGTGCAGAGCTTGGTTCTTCATAGCCTTTTTATATCCAGATAGCAATCGAACTAATTTTACATTTATATACCCTTTTAACTTGATTAAAAACATTGATTTTCGTCACGGCTTTTGACTTTGCTATGAAGCTTTTAAGCACAACACAGTTTAGTATCCAAGCAACGTATAACTAATATCTTCTTTGTGGATATTTTTTGTGAATTTTAAAAGCTGTTTCGGTATGCTGAAGGTAATTAACATGAAATATTTATGATATAATCTAGTTCTGACCATTTTGTATGAAAGATAATGGATTGGAAAATCATTAATCAATACCAGACAAATTATATAAATTAAAATAATTTATTTATTCGTTGTTATTTTCTTAAGGATATATAAACATTTTTTAGTATATAAATAATTGCATACTAATTTAGAGCATTTTACAAATTAAAAAAAACTAATATAATAAAAGAAGGAAAAAAGGAAAATAAATTATACTACGGGATAAATTATACATAGTTAGAAATAATTATAATATTGAATTTAAATATTCACTACTAAAATAACAAATCACAATAAAATAAGTAAAATTTACTCCTTATAGAGATATTGAGGAGCTGAAACTATTATAGATATAGTTATTTGTATTACAATAGTTCAGTGTTTAAAAGGTATTTTGTACAGTTACGCAATAAAGAAATTTGGTGTATAATTGCCATCATTTTTGGGGTTGAAGTAAACTAAATGTATTTTTAAGTTCAGAAACTCTAATTATCGTGCAAATAAGTGTATTAAATTGACAAAGTAACAATTAATTGAAAAAATGAGTGAAAATGTATTATTAAACATGTGCTTATTTTTTAAACGATTTTTTTTCAATAAAGCTATGAGTTGATTCTAATGCGCATGAAAGTATGTGTTGTCAGTAAATAAACATAACATAACATGAACATAACATAATAAACATAAAATGAATGAATGAATAAATAAATAAATAAAACTATATCAGTGAAAAGTTAAATAAAAAATGTTTACATTATATAATATGTAAATGATTAGAACATATAAGCACAATTAAAAATTTTAGTTCATCACAACAACATAAATGGTGACAACTATACATAAACATTTTTACTGTGTACAAAATTTTTAAACATGCTAAGACTAATATTTTATTTATTATGTTAGCAATTGGCACGTACTTTCTTAATTTAGTCACGAATAAAGCAAAACAATGTTAAAAAAGCTCTAATAAAGGCACAAAAATGAAATTATAGTATCAACAAAAGTACAAATAAAGGAACATATTTGAATTTTTATATGTTCTTAAATCACGCTGTATTTATATTGCATCAACGTATTGCATATTTACATTGTATTGCTTTTGCACACGTAGTTCCAACTATACCCTATCCCTATTCGTTTAACTTAATCATGCGTTTCAGTTTTCTGTCAAAAGAATTTGATTTGATTCTTTCATTTCTTAACATTAGGGTAATTTTTAACGTATTGTAACATAATGATGCAATGATAGAAAGTTTAGAATGTGTTGAACTATTGTATAATATCGTAATCAGCTGCAATCTTAATTTGGTAAAAAGTTGAACCATATTATTGTAGTTTTTAAACTTGATTTCGTCTTCCTTTTAAAATTCTGGATCAGATTCCGATTAAGTTTGATTTTAAGGTAAAAAGTATGAGTGCCGATACTTTTTACCGAAAAATCCATTTTTAGCGGAACATGTTAAGGAACAAAGAGTCTGATATATCCTAATTTTTACAGTATAATTACCGTAAAATCATTGAGCCACTCTAATTACATTGATACTACTGTTAAATGACAGTTAAATATTTTACGGTAAAATGGTTTTCGCGTCTAAAGGGGTTTTATGGTCAAATGGAATTTATGGATTATGTATTCAAATGCTGTTACTTCGAATCGTAATTTGATTCGAAATTTTTTTACAGTGTAGGAAATAAGTTAGTTATATTGAAATATTTTATAAACTTTATTGGATACTTTAAAAAGCGTTAGATTAAACCATGTTTCTACAAAAGCACCGTTGTATCCAGCACTACATAAATCGTGTTTCAATCTGGCACTACCTAAAATTTTTTACGACATTACATGATACTACGGTTTGTGATACTCATATAATTGTTCAACAAGGAAAAACGTTTTTTCTAGAATAAACATCTACCTGAGAAAGAAACAAAAATTTTTTAGTTTTCTGACTTAATGTATTTAAAAAAATTTTTTTTTGAACTTCAAGAAGAAGATCACGGAAACCAGCACATGTGACCTATGACGTCAGTGCCAGCTGATCGCTTATAAGCAAAATGACGTGTTGAAGTTGAGCTAAGTTTCTCCAAATAAATTAGAATGCTAATTAACGTGAAGTTAATTAAATACAACGCTGTATCGCACATCGAATTTGTCGAAATATAATTCTATCTTATCTACTTCTTTTAGTTAACTTTTATTATTTGTTTATGTATTTTATTGTGACCCTGATATATATTTGTTTTGTGTACCTGGCAACTTTGATGCATAATTAGTTTGTTTATGTTCTACATGGCTTCGTGCCTGTCTTTGTGTTAAGTCTCTGTGTAAATATATAGTGAAAGAATTGGAATCTTTGAGAAATAATATTTGTGAAAAAAGTTCGAATGTGTCACATAAGAGAATCGATACTTGACGGGCTTGGCTNAGACATTATATTAAAGCTATATTTGTTTTGATTATCTACGGAAAGAAAAACAATATTTTATAGCCTAACAATAATAGTTGTTTGCAGTCTTGAATTTATCTTGAGAGTGTCTCTGTAATATTTAAACAGCATGTTTTGATGAGTAAAAACATACTCGTGTGTTGTAAACACGTTATTAGCTTCTTATTATATAAGTTGTTGTAGTGGAGGCTTTTATGCGCTACATCTAATTTAAAAAAACGTCTAATTGATTAATTTTCCCACCAAACTTAATCAATTTATGTTTAAATAAAGCATATTTTTTTCTATTCTAAGAGTCCTCTGTAGTCAGTCATAGTTGTTTATGAAATGAAAAAATAAATCACTTAAAATAATTGTAGCGATACAGATTGATGGTTTCTGAAGTTAAATAAAAAACTTATAGCAGGGGTCACCATACCTTTTTAACCATTAACCCAAATAATTTTATAATTCTCTTATAGACCTGCTATAAAATAATAAAAAAGAAAACTTAACATGTTTCTCAAATGATTTACTTTATTTTGATGATTTGGCCAGTTTATTTGGCCATTTCATGTCCTCATTGTTAAAAGTTTTCCTACAAAGAAGGTAAAACAGCTTTCTTTCGTTCATTGATGAAGATATTAGACGTAATTTTAAATATTCCGCTGAATGGTGTGGAAAATTTGTTTTTTCGTTACTTATAGGAGGATATTGCTTAAATGTGGTAAGTTCTGACTATCATGAGTTGGTCTTAAGCAACAACATTTATCTAAATAAAACTGAATATAAACAATCTTTATTTTAGCGGAATGAACTTCTGAAAACGTGTTCTGTTTATTTTATTAAGGTAAAGTCACCGAGAAGGACAACGAATAATAATAACTTAAAAAAAAAGAATTGTTTAGCTTTATTAATTGTGTCGGTATATAACTTTCAGTTTTGTGCGCAATTTCATTCAGTACTGATTTATTAATTATTTTCTTTGTTTCCCGTACGAAGATCAAGTATTCAGCTAGTTCAATATAAACTCTTATTTTCGTTTGAAACCGTCTACTTATCTATTAATATTTATGTTTATAAGCTCATTTCAAAATCTGCAGGCACATTGTCTTCTTTTAATGAGCGATTTTTTATTAGTAAAATTTAGTCAATACGAAAATATAGTATAGGTTGGTATCGTTTCTAGAAAATTGCTTATTCGAAATAAAGAGCAACAAGTAAGAATAGTGATAATTTCTTAACAATATTTGATACTTGATTTGATTTGATTTAGTTGAAATATTGAACCTTTTGAATTCGCACGGAGAGTTTAATACTAACAGTATTTTATTGTCAAAGGTATTATACTTTAAATATTGCTGGCTTTTCGTTTAGTTAGCAAACTTCAGACAGTTTCATTTTAGATCAATTATTTGAATAACAAATGAGTAAAAAGAACTTGTTTTCAATTTAGAAATACTAGAGAAGCGTGTGTGTTTAGTGTTTAATGTATCCTTAATGTGTTTTTTCTCGTCATTATGTTAGTTTATAATACATATTTTTAATTTATTGACAAACTACTATAAATTAAAACTGTTGTTAATTGTATTTATTTCCCGTTTTACGTAGATAAAGTTTAATATGAAAAAAAGAACAATAAATTGAGAGAATGAAAACACGAAAGCAAATAAAAGCGACTTATCTTTGAAAACAAAAAAGTTTTTAAAACTTATTTTTTCGGTAATAAACGTGATTGCTATTGTCACCAATCGTAACAAAAAACACAATTTCGCGTTAACTGCTGTCACCGATATTGATTTGATGTTTCCTCAAGTTTACAGAAGTAATTTTTTTCTATTTAACAATATCATGATAAAAAAGTAATGGAGATATTAATTTAAAACTTTCAATAAATTAAAAGAATTACTTAAATTAAAATTAAAGGAATTAATTAAAAGAATTACTCAATAAATTAAGCAATTACGCCAAAAATAATATTTAAAGCAAATATTACTTGAAATAGTTGCGCGTTTTGTAGTTAGTTTTAAAAGTTTTATCTATTTAAAACACTTTCAATCTTATACTATTATAAACGTATATTTTTCCAAGGAAATTATTTCTAGATCTTATTAATATAAACAGTAATATTTTGCATTTAAAACTAATTTAATGTAAGCGTCACATTTATTTAAGTTTAACGTATTGAATAAATCAGAACGAATTAATAAAAGCTATTATATTATAATTTGATTGATTTAAAAATTTAATGAGCTGTGAATAATTATTGTTGATAGTTTCAGTAAAATTTTTTATTAATAAAATGTTAAACTCTGACTTCTGAAAAGGTCTGAGTGATCATTAAAATTTTAAACTGCTCAAATAAAAAGGCTTGATTCAATGTTTTCAAAAGGGTGTATCATCCATGCGCTTTAGTTCAAAATATTATGTATTCTACTCATTTGCAACAGGTTCAATTTAAACTTTTATACAAAGTTCAAAAAAGTACAACGCACAAAGAAAAAAAAAACGCACATCGATTAACTTTTTATCTAATACTCGGATTTTCAAAACTCAATGGTTCTACGGAATAACTTTAAATATTCTGGCTAAATAGGGCAGATGATATATTTAGTTACAAAATCAGACACAAAAAATACTTCCGCGGAATGAACAGATCTTTTTTCAACACATTAGATTCTTAAACCTCAAAATAAGGGTGGGGGGGGATAGCCACAACCTGGAAAATATAGTCCCAAAAGTTTAGGCAGAAGAGCAGAAGAAAAATAATCTTTTTTTAAAAGATTTGATTTAGACTTCATAAAATTGCCATTCTTTGCTTTAATAGTTTTTAAGTTTGATTTTTAATCAACACTAAAACAAACTGTTTGTTAATGTTTTTAAGAAATTCAATATAATCTTACTTAGTATGAAGTAAACTTAGGAACAAGAAAGGATTCTCTAGCAGATGTAGCCCATCAATGGAAGAATACCTGAAAAAAACTTTAAAAAAATTGCAAAGACGTAAAAGACATACAAAATTTGTTAACTTTCAAGAATAATATATACTTACTTTTAAGTGCATGAAATATATCTATTTAGTTAAGGTTTTGAAAACACATAAATTTCATGTGATTCAGTTTATTCAAGTTTTGAAATGCAATTTCAAGCAGAAAAAAAAACAATATTTATATTCATTCAAAATTGATTATTAATTTATCATGGTGTTAATTAGAATTTATGTTTAAAATGAAATTAAAATGTTGCATTAGAAGCTGTCATGATGTTTTCTGATATCGTTTTAAATAAAAGATCTCATGTTATACATAATAGCACATAAAATATACCATCACTGAAACAGTTTTGGAGCTTCTCTTCCTCTCCTGATTTAGTGACGTAAGTACTAGGGTTCGAAAGACCAAGTTGGGAAAGATCTTCGCAAGATTCAGCAGTATCTGAGTAAAAAGCTGGAAAAGGAAGCAGTAATATGACTATAATTTTACGCAATGTACTTTGAAAATTCGGTTCAACATTTAACTATAATATCATGAAAATAATCTGAACCTTTAGTTTGGTATTAAATTGAACCATTTTACCGTTCAAATTGAAGCATCAAGAAATCATGATTAAAAAGGAAAAATTTCCGTGATTATATGATTCCGTTCGGTATTGTTGTAAATGTGAAGTGCATTGTTAAAAATTCCACAAAAAAGGGTTAAATAACAATTTATTTTAATGTTATTTTACCATATTTAAACAAAGCAGTAAAATAAACATATTAAAAGGGTATTCAAACTATTAACTGAGAGAAAAAGAGTTTATTAACTGCTTTCACTTAATATGGTTAAATAATCAGAATTTTATCCGTACCAGATGGGCCCACCTAAAGAAGCTACTTAATTCCTTGCAGATGGGTACATATGAGAGCCGAATCTGTCAATCTCATGGCTGACAGAATGGGGTTTCGAGTCTCAGTGTTGACATCACAATATTTCCCCCATTTTCTTCAACACACGATGAGTTTATAGTATCCTGCATTCTCTAATTTGTGACCCTGGACTGATAAAATACGGTACTTTCATTCACGCATATTTGGAAGCACCACACAAACACAAAAAGTCTAGTATTTTCCATCTTTTACGATAGCTGAAACAACCAGATTAACCAATTAAGACACATTCCACGGTTCATTCAATAAAGCACAACTCAACCACAACTTTAATGTCTAATACCAAACGAAAAGCCTAGCTTTAATGGCCTCTTTCTTATGGTTTTGAAGCCATGCTAGTTGTGAATGGTTAAAAAAATATGTAGTTGAGTGTTCATGTTTTTTTAGTCACACTAGTTGTAAACGGTTTCAAAATCGTAAAGGTAAAATATGTTCTTTACCTTAAACTTTACGTCTAATTGGATGGACAAACTGCTGCCCGTTATTTTGCCGTAATTTTAGAAAGAAATTCTAACAGTGTGTACCATATCAATACGCTTCAAAATTTTGAAGAGTTTCAGTAAGATTAATGGAATCAATATATGATTCTGCATACTGTTCTATTTTGGGCACTAGATAAATCCTCGGTGTGTGCTGAAAAACGGTTAATTTCGAATTAGTGTTGCAATGTTGTTAAGTCCAATTCTCAGAGCAAAATATGTTCAACGTTGAATTGTAATATTTGCAATTCGAACCATAATATAGAACATATTTACTCCAATCTTAGCAAAGTGATAAGTTGAATGATGTCTTGGTCATAGTATTTGAGAAAATAGAATATATTGTCTAAACTGGTACCGTGTAATGGTTTCAGCAAAATTGCACAATATTATGGTTTGACATGTTCCAATATTTTTAAATGTTCAAAAATTTTTTAAATCTTTAATTACCTCTAGTTTTATAGCAGTTTGAGTTAATTCTGTGTGGAATTTTCAAGTAATTTTTCTTAATTAAGGGAATTTTTTTCTTAATTTAAACGTAAAATATTGATTATAATTTGTGTGGCAAAAATGTCCCTTTTCTTCTTCGAAAAGAATCTTAACTTTCGATCACTGCTGGTCAACGGTCATTGCACGAAGTGGTCTGATATTTAACTTCTTGAGGGGGAGAAACACCCTTTTTCTTCTCGCCTTTGGTGTCTTGCCGCTTTTTAGAAGAGGGTGTCATTGAAAGTGTTGTATGACTTTGTTTTTCACAAAATCGCCAATTATTAATTTTGAATCGCCAATTATTAATTTTGAATCGCCAATTATTCACACAATCGTTAATTTTTTTTCTTATATAATTCTTCGGGAGCTTACTTATCCAAACTTAATCATCCGTTTCTTGAAGGTTAATTGGTTAAGGCTTGTCTGGATTTTTCCCAGTCAATGAATTTTCTGAGTATTATCACATGCACATTCTCTGACTAACTCGTATTGGTGTACCTCCTCCCATTTCTTCTCTGAGATGTGGACTTTGGCCAGTATCCAGGGAATTAATTGCCTTTTTTTACATCCTTTTTCTTTGGCTAAAATATTTGATAAAATCCTCAAATCCCTATAAATTTCAGTAATAAAATGTCCTTTACGTCTATTTTTTATACCTTTGAATTTTCTATAAAAATCACAGATCATTTCAACTTGAGTGTTCAATTTGTATTTATCTTCTTATCACCCTTTAAATTTATCTTTTATATTGTATTACGTTTCATTGCAATTTCCTACTCTTGTCACCCATTACATTTAGGCTTGTCTTTTCTTAAAATTGTGTGAAAAAAAGCGTGTTTTATTGGTAAAAATTGCGAGCGTGATGTAAATAATATTGAACTGAATTAAAGAACGTGTGAATATACCATTTTAAATTGTCTCCTTTTTCGGCTGGTAGATTTATTTCTCTTGTATGCGGTGAGTACATTTTGCAGTTTTGCGACACATATTTACTTTTAATTGAAAGCATTAGTGGTTAAGAAAAATTCTATGCTTGTATTGGGAGTACAAATTAGCTCTGTCCGTTTTCAAAGGATGCCTCTAGCTGGTATGAATGTTTCATAGTAACAGCTGGTTTCGGTGGTTTCAGAGAGGTTAGACATCTATCAATATTATTCAGTTTATATCACTTTGAGTTTCATACAAAGCCACTGTTTTTTACTTCGTTGAATATGTCAAATTTTGAGGAAACTAAGCAGCATTTGCGGGAGGTTTTATGATTCTGCTTTAATTGGACGAAAAGTGCAGCTGAAGAGCATCAAATGCTTGTAGAAGTTTATGGTGACAATGCTCCAACTGATAAATCGTGGGAATGATTTCGACGTTTCAAGAATGGTGAATGAAGATCGGTGAATGATCGGTATAGGCTACAATTTAATTGTTTGAGCAGTGCATTATCAGAAAAACGGCCAGAATACGAGCAAAGACATGACAAAGTTATTTTTCTGCATGATAACGGTCGGCCTCATGTCGCAAAAGTCGTAAAAAAGTATTTGGAATCGCTCAAGGGGGATATTTTACCACACCCGTCGTATTCGCCGGACATTGCTCCTTCTGATTACTGGTTGTTTCGACGGATGCAGCTCGATTTGGCAGGTCACCGGTTCACTTCTTTCGCAGAAATCGAGAATTGGTTCCTAACTTGGATCGCCTCAAAAGACGAGACATTTTTTCGAGATGGAATTTGAAAATTGCCTGAGAGGTGGGAAAAAGTATTAGCCAGCGATGGACAATACTTTGATTAATCTATTCATTCATTTTGTTCTGAAGTAAATTCATGTTTGACCACAAAAAAATGGATCAAACTAATTTGTACCCCCAATATTACAAGTCATTATCATTAATCTTTATTTTTCTGATGTCCATTTTATTCCATATTTGGTAATGCCAATATGTTCAATGTTTACGTCACATTGTGTGACCATTGGACCTATTGGGTTATTGCTATTCCTTGATGGTTTTATGCTACCACTTTACGCAAACGATCTCAAATTACTTTATTTAATAATAAGTGCTTCGTTTACTATCAAGCCTAACAAATTTTATTTATCGTCGAATTTTCATGTGAGATGTTTTCTTTTCAGTTTAAATTGATCCATCGTAGTTTGTAGAGTTGTCAAACAGTCTGATTTAAATATTTTTCTTCATAATCCGTTTCAATTTTCTTTTATCACGTTTTGCAATTTTCTTAGATATATGTTCCCTCTATGTGTATGTGGCTTATTCCTCAAGGTCTAGCTGCAAGCTAGACTACGTCCAGGAGGTCGTGAATTCTCAAAAAGTCATATACAATAAGAGATGTAATTATAAGGTCCTCCTTTTCAAAAGCCCCACGCAGTGGAGGAGATGATGCGGAGGTGCTATAAAATGCTGTAAATGCTCTCATTACACTTTAATTCGATAAAATAAGTAAGGGCGGGGATGGCCTGGTTGGTAGGGCACTGAGCCCATGTCCAAGAGGTGGTGGGTTTGATCCAGCCAACCGAAGACTCCTCATGTAGTAAATGATGACTGATTCACGTTAAATCTGTCTGGTCATAAAGTCCTCCATGTTCTCATTACAAATCATGCCTCTAGGGGTACTGATCCAGGAATTTTCTTGTCTTCTGGATTGGTTCAAAATAACGAGGCTACGGAGTTGAACATTAGTAGTCGTATATCCCAAATTGGATCGACTGTTCAACGACGGTTATAAAATAAGATAAAATGAAATAAAATAAGTTGTTTTGAAATGTCAGACACTTCTGTCACGCTATTTTGTCGTATAGACACCTGCCCTCTTTTAAACTCACAAATAGCTTTTACTGATAATATCATCGAACAAATTTACGAAGTTTATACAATCTTAAACTTGACTAGCTAAGTCGTTTGTTTTAACAAAAATTTTTTGAAAAATATTAGAGAATGTTTTCTGCAATTAAAATTTAAGAAATATAAAGAATAAGAGAAATGATTGTTGATTTCGGCCTGTGTGTTTAGTATAGTGTTCTATTTTGAACATAACTGAGATATTTATTAAGCAAAGGGTTTTGACCTCTTGCTGCAATGCTGTTAAAATCGAGATAAATTTAGAGAAAAATAAGCTTACAATTACAAAAAATAATTACTGCAAATTTGCTGAAATCTTATCAAATTGTAAAAATCAATCACGTTTCCTTTCATATTTGAACATAATTTAGTGTAATCAAATTTAAGAAGGATTAATCTGCGTATTTGTTTAGTCCATCTTTGCGCCGTATTATAGTTTTAGTAAATTATAACGATATTATGGCTCAATATGCCGCAACATATTTAACAGCGTATGCAAAGTCACAATGAGTAACAACATAAAAGATTTGTTACAATGATTATACAATGGATTGCTCGGAATTGATTAAGCGTTGATCCCAGTGTGACACTATTTCTAACTGTGTCTAATTATAAAATTATTCAAAATATCTCTTTTTTAGGCTTAAAGATTGATATTTTAACCCTTCATTTTAGAAAATAAAAATAAAGTAGTCAAACCTTGAAGTGCATTGTTTGCTAAAACCACGAACTAAATACAAACAAGAAATGTAACAGACAAGGAGCATTTAAAAATAAAATTAAAGTAAATATTTTAAAGTTGTCGTAACTCGAATTTGTTGCCGGATCTGTGTATTCATTTACATCATTATGACGCCTTTACCTTAAGACTTCCGTTATCTTAATTATTGGTACCCAGACTCTTATTTGTAATGACAAATAACCAGAGTATTACTTATTTTTAAATTTCAATCTATCTACTTGAGTATAAAATAAAGTAGTCAAACCTTGAAGTACATTGTTGCTAAAACCACGAACTAAGTACAAACAAGAAATGTCAAAGACAAGGAATATTTTAAAATATAATTAAAGTAAATATTTTAAAGTTGTCGTAACTCGAATTTGTTGCCGGATCTGTGCATTCATTTACATTATTATGACGCCTTTACCTTAAGAATTCCGTTATCATTAATTTACTTAAGACTTCCGTTATCTTAATTATTAGTACCCAGACTCTTAGTTGTAATAACAAATGACCAGAGTATTACTTATTTTTAAATTTCAATCTATCTACTTGAAAAACCAGAAAAAAGAAAAATAATTACTTAGGTTATAGATTGTAACGAAGTCCTTGTTGCCACAATGTTGATTCTGGCAAATTCCGTTACATTCCATCCTTTCGGCAATCGGCAAATTGTTAAGATTATCCTTCTGTAGACAGAAGCATTTATCTGGTATGGTACCTGCCAAGGGAAATCCAAGGCCACGACAGTGCTCTAAGCATTCTGTAACGCTAATTCCTTTCTTTTCCAGGATCTGATTACTTGGTGGGTGACCTTTAAAACAGTTCATAGAGCCCTCTGTAAAGAAATAGAAAAATTTTAGAGGAAAGTTGAAACAGTTCAATTTGGGATTTAGAAGTGTCAGTATATAATGTACCTAATGATATTAAAATGGATTTATAAACAGGATGATTCAAACAATAATTTCATGAAACAAGCTACAAATATCTATGAATTTTTCTACTCTTGGAAATTTTAATAACTTGCATTCAATTTAGTATTATCTATACATGCAATATTTGTACCATGCATGAAATCGCACTAATTACAAGATGTGCTAGCAAAGTTCGGAAGTGTATTAGCAACAACATTCTTTTAAAATAGGTTGTATTTAAGGCTTTTAAAATAGATCGGAGATACAGGCTGAAGATATTGTTGTTGTATCGGCGGATGGAAAAAAAGAGCTGCCGAAAAAAAAGCCCCTGAAAAGTACCGGAAAAAACATCTTGTTAAGTGTTAAGTTGTTGATCTGAATGAATTCAACATCTGATTCAATTTGGGCGATAGAGACAGAACTTAATGTATTAAAAAACTTTGACGAATGAAATTTTTTTTTGAAAATTAATTAATGTGTAAGGCTTTATTTGAAGTTTACTGAAAGACACTTTCCCCACTTCATATTATTTAAAAAAAAGGATTAGGATTCGTAAGCAGCTATGACATTACTTAAATTTCAATAATTAAATTTATTGTATTGTGATCTAATAATGTACATAAAACACTTTTACCAAATTAGCAGTTTTTTTAAAAAATGCATTAAAGTGAAATATTTTATTGTTTTTGCAAATATTTTTAACTAATTAAAATAGCCTATGGTGGGCTATTGTTGATTGTTACATTATTTATAGCAATTCTTTTATACATTATAAAACTGTACTTGCTATTAAAAATCTGTTAAGTATTAAAAGTTTCTTTCAGTGAACTTCAAATTTAACTTTGTGTCTTAATTTCTTTTAGAAATATCTGATTAAAATCAAATATGTATAATATTTAATTACATTGTATTTGGGATCAACGGCCTGAATTGAATTGGACGTTAAAAGTTTTAGTTTAAAGGGCTTTTTTTCTGGCACTTTTTTCAGGTGTTCTGGTGCTTTTTTCTGGTGCTTTTTCAGTGATTTTTTTTAATCTTGTGCTTTTATTTCCGTGATTCTGTTGGATCTGCGTAAAGCCTGAAGACACATATCTGTCTTGTAAGCTTTTGAACTATTCAGAAACACAATTTTACGCAATATTCGTTGTTTTATCCCCAATTTATGACCAAAGAGCAGCGATGGCTCAGGGGATAGAGCGTTCGCCTTCCAATGAGGCGAACCGGGTTCGAATCCCAGTTGATACGAATTCCGCATCCAGTTTGCACCGACCACAGTGCTGGCGTGAAATATCCTCAGTGGTAAACGGATCATGGGTTAGAGTTCCCTTGCCGTCAGGCTAACCGTGGAAGGTTCTGGTGGTCTTCCTCTCCACTTAGCGAAAATGCTGATTAACTCCATCAAAAAGTCCTCNGTTAAATCTGTAGAGTCATAAACTCCTCCATGTTTCCATAACAAATCATACTTCTGGGGGTATTGATCCAGGAGTTTTTTTGTCTTCTGGATCGGTTAAAAATTACAAGGCTGCGGAGTTGAACAATAGTAGTCGTAAACCCAAAAATTGGGTCGGCTGTTCCACGATGGTTATAAAATACAAATAAAATCTCTCACCAAACTTAATGGTGCGCATTTATTCTGAGAACTTTACTTAGCTTTCGCACACTGACTGAGTTAATAATTTTAACGCAAAGCACAGTTTCACTTAACTGTCGTAATTTAGGAGCCAGGGATCCCAAGTTGTAATTTTTCTTGCCGCGTCTACGTGAGCTCAAAAATCTTAATCTTCCAGGTTATTCATCTGTGGACCAGTCACCAAACTCTTTTAACGCATCTTGTTCAGAATTAGAGCTAAATTGGACTATGACTAACTTTATTCCATTCAACGTAGCATATTTTATTGTTGTACTCAGAGTTCAGTTTAAACATTTGATTTGTTCTAAAAATGATCAAGCAAGAGCTGTCAATTAAGCTTGTGGAAAGTCGAATTTCGACCAGTATAATCCTCTGAATGGCAAAATCAGTTTTCTTACAATAAATTACAAAAAAAACGCGTATAGATTAGAAATATTCTCCCGATATTTGACTATCTATGAAACTGCCGAATGGTTATGAGAATACTAGATAATCCTTAAAAAAGAAAAATGCATGCCAAACAGAGGATGACTGAACATTTTGCTAAATGCATACTGGCTTTACATAACTGTTAAGACTTTAAAATAAAAGTACTAAAACAGTATCAATAAGCAGTATAAAAATAGGCATAGTATTACGGTATAAAAATAATATAGGTAAAAATAAACAGTATCAAATGAATGACGAGTTTGTATTTAGTTTGTTGATTCTGTTAGCAGGAACTTAAAAATCTGTATATTTTTCATTACAAACATTTTCTTTTGGGTTTATAAATATAATTCTTTCAGTTTTAGTATTATAATAAATTGAGGAAGAATATAAGAGACCTGCATGCATTAATAATATAAACTCAATTTTTACCTTTATCCAAATCTTTTCTGCAAATAAAAAGAGCTCTATTTGAGCAAATTTCATCTCGCCATTTATAGCCGTTGCTGCCATCTAATAACGCGCATCGTTCATAAACAGAGTTCGGTTGCGTTGGCATCCAATTCCGAAAGTTTGACACACTCCCATCTAACCACCTGTAAGCTTTATTGTCTGTAGGATCATATTGGTACAATCCAATCAACCACCGCACTCTTTGCAAAGATGATCCCATACCTTGGATGGTCTGAAAAGCATTAAATAATCATTAAATAATCGAAGGTTTCTTCATTACGCATAAAAATATTATTGGACATTTTTAAGTAAGATAAATGAGCTTTATCCAGTGCGCGATACATCTTAATAGCTATTGAACTAATGATTGAATAGTCTTGTACTAAGTCACAATCTTAATGGTTCGAGTAGGTAAATAATATATACTAATTAATTTATTCAGACCATATTTTAAACTACGTACGAGGCACATCCAGAAAGTAAGTTTCTCTATTTTTTTTTAAAAAAATAACTCATACGTTCAGGAACATGTTTATTGGCAACAAGTACAGCAATGTTTCAGCTATTTTTCAACATAGCCACCACCAGAATTGAGACACTTGTCGTATCATGGCATCAACTTTTGCATCCCTCTGTCGTAGAACTCTGTCGCCTGTGAATGGAACCACGTGGTGAAACAGTAAAAGCCGACCGTTACTGTGAAACACTGCGGAAATTGCGACGTGCCATTCAAAACAAGAGGCGTGGAATGCTTACTGCAGGTATTGTGCTCCTCCATGACAATACTCGTCCACATACAGCTCGACGCACAGCAGCTGTTTTGACGCAATTTGGCTCGGAGTTGTTTGATGATGCACCTTACAGCCCTGATCTTGCTCCCAGCGATTTTCATGCTTTCTTGCACCTCAAGAAATTCCTGTCTTCTGGTGAGCGTTTCAGCAACGACGAAGAGCTGAAGACGTCTGTCACACGCTGGTTCCATTAACAGGCGACAGAGTTCTACGACAGAGGGATACAAAAGTTGATCCCACGGTACGACAAGTGTCTCAATTATGGTGGGGGCTATGTTGAAAAATAGTTGAAACATTGCTGCACTTGTTGCCAATAAATATGCTCCTGAAAGAATGAGTTCTTTTTTTTTAAAAAAAATAGGGAAATTTACTTTCTGGATGCGCCTCTTATAAAACATATTTCTTCTGATTTTGGATTACTCGATTTGGATTTTTGATTCTCATGGTCCTCACAATCTAGGCAGGAGAGCGGTTGAATGTTTAGTTCCTTTAACTTCGATTTCACATATTTTGTACATCACTATATCTCAGGAACAATGAAAGAGAATTAAAAAGAAATTATACACACCTATAAAACTTCTTTATAAAAATATAACTCTACACAAAAAATAATTTTTTAACAATTATTTACAACTTTTCTTTGTTTCAGTAATGGTCAAAATTTTTTCGATTGCTAAGGTAATTATTTTATTGAATTTTTAACTATGGAATTTTATATGACTAAACCTAGAAATTCAAAACGTCATATTTTGGATTTTATCAAAGTGCATTTTTTAAAATCATTTGTATACCTTAAATTTCCAAAATTTCTCGGTTTCGGGGTAATTAAGTTTTTTTTACAAAATATATTTTGCTTAAAATTATCTTTAGATAAACGAATTTTATAAATGTGTACTAAGTTTTCTGATTTGTTTTAATAGCTCCATGCAATATAATTTGCCTCCGTATTTCTTTCTATTTATTTTCGGCAATTTTGAATTCAACTCAGAAAAATAAACAAAGAAAAAATTTAGTCTTCAAAGAATAATTTTCGGGTGACTCCGAGCGTCTAAGTTGCATGGTGGGAAAAACCACGAAAACGACAAGTTTTTTCAACAACTACGGGATTTTTATCTTTGATCCAATTATCAGGCAATGTGACTTTTAAGTAGCGTAAATTTCAGTTGAAATTAAGTAATAATAATTAAACTATAGATGCGTACTTAAATGCACCGATCTGATTCTTATTTTTACCTCCTTTATAGCTTTACAGTAATTTATGCAATGAGCAGTAATTTCCTCTCCTCCATTTTTGCAATGCTTTTAACATATTTGTTTCCGTTGACACGTAAGTTATGACGGAAAGTAATAAATGATTTTTTTTATTCACAGTAACATATTTCGATATAATTTAAAATCGCAATACGTGTCAATACAATTATTAACTAATTTGTAATAACATAAATTGAATTTTAGAAAATATTTGATTAAATTGTGATTTTTTTTTGAAATATTTAATTATTTCTTGAACTTTTATTCTCGATATTTTTCTTTTGAAAACAAACGCCTTCGTTATTTTTGATGGGTTACGCGAGTTTAAATACTATTCAAAGCAATTTTATTTTTTGACCCAATGAGTTAATAACAATTGAGGTAAATATTATATGCATCCTATTCCGTGTTTTGTTTTATTGTCGACTTAAACAAAGACGAGAAAGCTTAAAAATTAAATATCTCTAGAGAAAATTTCTTCTTTTTTTTCTTACTACAAAAAATATAGCCATTGTTTAAAGCAAAGGTGAGAAAAATGCATTAAAAAGTAATTAAAAGGGCAATATTTTTCGAATAAATAGAAATTTTTTAAAATACAATACTTGATGTCAATTTCCTCATAAAAATGATGCTTTTCAGCACATTTTATTTCCTTTTGGTAGTGTATTTATTTCTCGTTGTTGAAGGGTATTTTTTTATGTCGAATTGACAATTAATAATTCTCTGTTAATTTTTATTTACTGATGCATTTTCTTATTTCATCGTAAACCATGTACATTTTTTTATAAACCTTACAATAATTTCGTTTTTTTTCTTCACTGTAATAGTTTTCACGCAGCAAAACAAAATTTAACCTAAAATTATACAACCAAAACTTGCTCTGATGATTTTTAATTATTAAAAAATCCAAAAACAAAACTCATTTATTTTCTCGAATAATTAAATTAAGATCTACTCAAATAATCCACTTTGACTAACCCTAAATCAAAATTAAATAGCACATTGCATCAATACGTAAATTGCATACAAGAAAAGAATGAAAGCATAGGAGAAAGGCGTGTCCCCAATCAAAAATTAAAGTAAGCATACATTTAGTTCAAAAAAAATGGCATCACTTCAATATTCTGCGTTCAAAAAACATGTTAAGCAAATTATTTGTTTTGAACAAGCGCAAAATTTAAAAGACATGTTTTGATTCATAATTTTGCATAAAGCATCTTTGAACTCATTGCATCCAAACCCAAATAAATATTATTGCCAAATGGTTTTGATTTAAAGGATCTGGATTTAGTGTAGTCTGGCGGTGATTTAAAGGATTGGGATTTAGTGCAGAAGGCGGATATACTGCCCTAAACTCAATATGTAATTTTAGGTATTTACCTACTCAACGAAACGAAACTCAGTGTTATAAACTCAATTTGACGTTAAAACAAGGAGTAGCAGCTGATAGAAAATTGACAGTTCCTTAGGATGACTCAGATCATTTAATTCGTATTTACCGGAAAAAGGTTACTTTTTGATAGTATAGTTTTGAAGAATATACCTGATCAACTTGCATAATTATGTTTATGGATTTCTATTTTTCATTCCTCATAATACAAAGCTTATGTATTTAGAAGTTATTATTTATTTAGTCTTGTCATTAAATTTATACATACTTAACAAGAGTTTTGTACTTTAAAGGTAAATTCTATTGCGTTATGGTAGGCATTATTTTATCAATTTTCGTTCCAACTATTTGTTTTATTTTCAAATGCCATCAATTGAGTTTATGTACTCCCTTTAAGTACCTGTTGAAAAAAAGAGTTTGCTCAAATAAACCTACATCTAATGCGCACTTGGACAGTATGTACATATGAGTCAGACTGAAGTACAGTATCGCATATTTATTATAGCTTTTATTTATGTCTGCTTAAACTATTGAACAAATATATATATATGCGAAGAGGAAGTAGGATTGAAGTAGGCAATAAAAATTGACAAATTATGATTAAGTCCGGCTTCCTTATACTAGAAAAGAACTTTTAAATCTAAAATTAAAACTTTTGGTCAGGTTTAGTAAAGCTTCGCATTATTTTTATTTTCATGGTTCTTTAATTATGAATTATCAATCGTTTTTTGATAAATCTAATAATGTAAAACTGGGAAAAGAGCAACAAATAACGGGAAAAAATGAAATAGAAATTGTGCACAAAGTGACAAATCATCGAGATAATTTGCCACACCAAAAGAAACGAAACTATTTTTTCGTTACTACGATAGTAGTTCATCAAAATAATTTAGAGCCTATCGACATTAATAAATATTTTCAAGAATCGCAAATTTGTTCGTATAATATGTTTACTCAAAGCAACTAGTATAGTTAGAACGAAATAATTAAAATTTTCTACTGAGCGCAAAGTTAGAAAGATAATTTTCAGCATATTTAAAAGTAATTTCTGTATTGCTTTGTTCGTCAAAAATGATTAGAATACATATACTACTTATATCGCAAATACTTATCTTATAAAGCAAGACCACATTTAATAAATCTAATAACAAAAAATCACTAAAAAGTGCTACAAATAACGAAAAATAAACGAAATTGTACTGGACTGAACTGAGTCGTACCGTTATACTCCACGAGCAAAAATTATCGAAAAGGAAAAGAATAGTGCTTGTTATTGGACTAAATCATTATTGTTTGTTTGTTAGTGTGTGAATTTTAAGCAAATTTATAATAAGCTGGACGAAAAAATAATTTTTAAAACTGTTGTGATCAATAAAAAAATGATAGCTTAAAAACAAGATAACGTTAGAGAGACGACGTAGAAAAACAAACTTATTCACACAGGTTGGAATTAATTAACATCAACACTCCAATATGGTTCGTCCTTGCTTTTAGCTAGCAAAGTCTAATTCAGAGTTTGTTCTCTAAAAAATGACAGAACTAATTTCGTTAAAATCGAGGTACCCTGTTTCACCCCACTACTTGATTTCCTCACGATCTCTTCTAATTTTACTAGAACTATCATAAACTAACTGCTCCAGGGTATTTTAGGCCTATTCTGGAGAAATGTCTTGAAGTAAACGAAGATCTAAAGTTACAGAGGTGTTTCAAAAGATAATAAGTGATATTTTTTTTGAATTTCACCTTTATTAGAAACCCTTGTTCTTGACTGCTTCTGATGCTTGCTAAAAAGCCACCTTGTTTGAAACATATTGATTGTGCGTCTTCAAACTTCTGGTTATTATTGTCAGCAAAGAGAAAGCATACACTCCGAAAAGTTCGCCATGGACTAGGGCACCTCTTTGGCTTTTGGCCTTCTGCAAAAGAAAAAGAAAGAAAAAATGTCATTGAATAAAATTGTTTTAATTTCTACACTTTTAAAATTTTCATTCTAAAATTATGGTAAAATAACTGGCAGCTGTCTGTCCACCCGATTAACCGTATAGTTTACGGTAAAGAACATTTTTTTCCTTTATGGTTTTGAAACCATTTACAGAAAGTATGGTCATAAAATCATGAATACAAAACTACACGGGTTTTTTAAGCATTTACTACTAGCATTATTCAAAAACTAAAGGAAAAAGAAATTATCTAACTAGACATTGGGGCTCGTCTTTTTGTAAGGTAATGGGCATTGGAGAGTGCCGGACACTGGAAATTCTTCATGTGTTGAAGGGAATGGAGGAAATATTTTAGCGTCAACACTAGGACTCGAACTCCAGTTTTGCCGGTTATGAGATTGACAGATAAGTCCTCTCGACTATGATATGTAGGCAGTACAAACGAACTAAGTAGCTTCATTAGGTGGTTATAGTTGGTGCGATAAAATTCTGGTTATCTAACTGTATTAGGTGAAAGCAATTAATGAACAGTTTTTCTCAAATTTTACAGTTTGATTACCATTTTATTTATGGTTATTTGACTGTTTTGATTAGATAAAGTAAAATAATCATTCAATAAATTTCTATTTAACCATTTTTTCCGAGAAATTTCTAACAGTGTACCAGCATGAATTTAGAATATTATAGGACACGCAATGAGTGCATCAGTTGAGTTATTATATTTTTGCAGTAATTTTGCTTGAATAATTGAAATTCATTTAGGTATGAAGGGACTTATATACAATTCTTATTCTACTTATATACAATACTATACAATTTACAATTCTTATTTTATTTACTTTCAATCCTCCGAACTGTAAAACAAAATTATATTGAATAAACTTTATTTCGTACATTATGGACACGAATGAAAACTTTTTTAAATTTTATGTTGTACTAAAACTGTTATAAAATTCCGGTGTACTGTGAAAAATCCTGATCAAATTATGGTATAAAAAACCGGCACACACGGTGCTGGTGTTACATGTTGTGGTACAAAAAAATCCAATATACTGTAATTTTTACAGCAATAATTATCATAAAATCACTGAACCGCTCGATTTTAATAAATATTATTGAAAAACTTACGGTATAATATTTACCGTAAAAATAGATTTCATGGTAAAAAGGATTTTACAGACGATGCACCCTAAGTGACAGTACTTCATACCGTAATTTGATCCGGAATTTTTCACAGTGTACTAGCATGCTGGTTGTGTTATAAGACTATAGATATTCTATAAAAATGTAAGTTAAATCTTAAAAATTAATTCTAAAAGTCATATTTTTCCCCCTTCAATCATCTTCATAAAATGGCACCAAGTTCTATAACTCTCAAGTAACACATTTTGTTTTGCACAGTTTTGGACAACCAAACAATGAGTTAGAATGTTATCTTTCTCAAAGTATTTCATCCAAATTTTTTCATTTAAAAAACCTTATGTTGGCTAGCAGTGTACTATTAAAGTAGGGAATCAGAACCCTTTGAAATAAACAGTGATCCTAAATGGAATCAGTTAAATAAACGTAATATTTCGAAAAGCATCAACTTCTATTGGTGACGGATGTCACACCAACTGAGTAAAATTATACACTGTCAAGTGTGATGAAAAATTCGCAGCAAATTTCTACTTGCGTTCACATTTTTTCTAATGCTACAGACACAGCTCATATCACAAAATTTAAACTCATATGTTTATAGCGGCCCAAAATTTTATTTGTTATCAATAAGTTTTGAGAGAACTGGGTTTTATGTAATATGACTCATAAAGATGCTATTGATATCTTTAATAGAAGCTTTTATTAAATTAAATATAATATTTTTTTGCAAAAAAACATTACAAAAAATGAAAATAATATAACTTACCTATCAATACAAAGGCACATAGCACAGTTAATATCAAGAGATATTTTTTAGTCTTTATTCCACTAGCTACTCTAACCTGAAAATAAGAATCAAACACACAATTTTTGTTAAATTTACAAAAAAAGTTTCATAATTTTTTTATTGTATGCAATTACATAGAGTGCTGTATTAACGGTGTGTGATAATCTACGGTATAATATTTTACTTTATTTTACATTATAATTAGATATGAAGCATAAAACAATTATTTCTAAATTCAGCATCATCGGTAATCCATGACCATTTCTGACTTGCACTCTCATTTTTATTCTTTAGTTAAAACAAAGATTATCCAACATCCCCCATAATTCATATACTTTCTGACTTACACTCTTAGTTATTATTTTTTTTTGGGGTTGAGAAAAAATAATTGTCAAAACTACTAAAATATGGTAAAATTTTCTGTCTTTCGGGCAAAAAAGCTGGGTAATTCTTATCGAAGTTCTTTGAGATTGCTCTAAGATTAAAAATAAAATATGATTTTAAAATAAGTAATAAAGTTTGAAAAATGTGGTACATTTTGGCGATAAATCGTGATATATTTAAGTACGGTAGATAAATAATTTATTTGATTAAATTTACTTCTTAGTTTTGTATTTTTAACTAAATGTGTGGCAATAGGAACTATAATTTTGAAAACCAGAATTTCCAGTAAGCCAATACCATGTAAACTGAAAAATTATCGAGTGAATGGTTTAAATACTGAATATTTCAGTTTAATTAATTAGAATTATTGTTTCATTTTACCAGAAATGTCATTACTATACAGTATAGTAACTTTACAGGAATTAATTCTTCCGTCTGACTTGAACAATCAGATAAGAATACTTATTTATTGCGCGAATTTAGTATACCATGCGTTATATTTCGTTATAATTACACTGTAAAAAATTTTGCATCAAATAACGATAAAAAGTATTGGCACTCAGCGTGACAGTACATTTGACCGTAAAATTATACGCAACAAAAAACCTGATATACCTTAATTTTTATAGAAATATTTGCTGAAAAAAATCACTGTAATTGAATAAATATACTATTTGAGTGCGGCAAATAGTAATTAAATGCGGTACTTTACAATAAAATGAATTTTACCTTTTAGTATTTTACAATAAAATGGATTTTACTTTACTTAATAATGCACCCAGTGAGCCAATATTTTTTGCTGTAATTTGATCTGTAATTTTTTAGAATGTACATAGCACAAAATAATTATTATTTTCCATTACATGAAACTTCGATTATCCGACATATTTGTCAATCCATTACTTTTTCTGATTTGAAATCTAATTTTTAATTTATTGTAGTATTTATTTTAACAAAAGTTTTTTCTTAAAGTAATAAACATTCAATGCTTTATTAACCACGAGCAATCACCTACTGTACAGCATAGTATAACTTGCGTTATTTTACGTTAAATTTTATAGAACAAAAGAATTTCTTAAGTTGTACGGCTTGGTAACAATTATTCTATTGTCTGACAAAATTATAATTCCTATTCTGTTTACTAGTCAAATTTTGCACTTATTAATAAATGTTAAAAAAAGAACGATCAACTCGTTTTATTTTACACAAATCGTCAACCAGACCAGAATAGTTCGAACGATACAAATTAGGATTAATTAGGATTTTCGAAGCTAATTTTTAAAATAAATATTACACGGAGAAAAAGATTCCGTCGAAATTATCGTGTTGTATGATAAAGACATTTTTGGTAAAATAAGGACACAATTCTAGTAGTAAAAACTAAAGTATACCGTATTTAAACTACTTATTTGGTAATTTTTCCGTTTATATGGTAACGGTTTACCAGAAATTTTGGTTTTCAAAATTATAGTTCTTATTACCACACATGTAGTAAAGATTGTGAAAAAGGATTAAACTAATGCTGATTAAAGGCTGACATAAAAATCAACCGAATGAATGGTTTTTATGGCATGCTGCAATGTTTCATGATAAAATTACCAAAATTTACCTCATTTACTAAGTTTTAATCACATATTATAAAACCATATTTTATTGTAAGTTTTCAAAAATCACTATCAGAGCGCTTCTTTAAATGTAACCGAGCTTTTTTTGGTGTTCCGTACAGCCAGAAACACGATAAGTTTTGACATATTATGACAGTTTTAACCAAATTTTTTTTCTCAGTGTACTGTTTAACAAAAACATTTTTACTATTCTGTTTGGAAATTCAAAATCTTACATAAGTAATTGTAAGAAATGAACTAATCAATTTATTCCAACTAACACGAAATATTAGTTCATGTTCAAACTTTATATTTTTTAATGGGTTCCTTTTCATTATTTGTCGATTAACTATCATACTATATTTTAACTAAAATGTTACTGCTATTTTATTTTAAGGTTAAAACTCACTGAATAGTTATGAAAATCAAATATCATCGATTCCCGCTTACATAAATATTAAGAATCATTATCATCGATCATAATTATATGCTTATTTACTGATATCATATCTTCTCGAACATCTAAAAAAAAAAATCGATCTTTGACAAATTGTCACTTACCATCAGGACATCCAAAAGACCCTCATCAAATGCTATTTGTAACTAAAATTTTAAAATATTTTCCATTAAATTCTGTTTAATCTCAATTAAGAGGAAATCGGAGCAAATTTTTGCTGTGGTTGAATCAGCCACGATCTTGTTTGAGAAATGGTTAGGTGCAATTTCCTTATATACTACGATTAGATAGTTTTCATTTGCCGCTTAGGTTATTTTTGCGCACATTTTACATTAATATCGTCAAATGACTAAACATTAGACAATGGTTACGGTCACGGTATGATTCGGAAAAATTAATTGCAGGATTAATGGCACAACATAGCTTCGTTTCCATGCGAACGCAGTTCTGATGGACGTATGCAGGCGCGAATTTTGATGGAACTTGTCAATGCGTAGCTTACTCACGAGCTGCTGAAGCCATCAAGCGAAGAAAATGGATTCTGGAGTTTTTTGGAAAATTAATAAATTGAAAATTGTTCCGTTTCTTGTACATTGTAAAGAATAGTAATTTGAAGCTTCACTAGATACCTGGAAACATTTCGACAATGTGTGATTGGAATTTATTATTTTCAAGTTTGAAAGATCTATTATTAGATAGTTTTTTATTCAATGTTTAAATATTTATTTTTCAATTACGATAATGGCGTAAAGTAATCTACTTATAAAAATCCACAAAATAAATTTATTAGATTTAGATATTTGTTTGGGATATTTTGTAAACGCGTTTAAACATGGCGCTTCATTATCACTGCCTTTAACAATCATTATTAGAATTCATGTCAAAAAGTATTCACTTAAAGAGTCGCCAATCGATGTAGAAAAGAGGAAAAAAAAATTCTATTGAAATCTGCCAAATCACAGTTGAGAAATGCGAGGTTGAAAACGTCAAAACCTGTTTGAATGCCAGAGAAAACAAAGATGAGCTAAGGCGATCATTAAAAAGACCTCTAACTTTCCTCACTCTTGCAACTAGTCTTGACATTTTCATCAAGATTTAATAAAGTAAATGAAATAAATGAAAATAAATTCCGTGAAAAGAACTTTCCTTTTAAAATGCTAAGAGAAAAGTAGTTCATCTAGAAAGGTGGACTGATTGGTAAGACAGGGTTCCCAGTAGAACACCGAGTTCAAGTATCACCATTTGCGGTCAGTAAGCAGGTGGGTGACCACTTTGATCAGTCTGCGTAGGGCTACCAAAGAGGAAGAGATATTCCCTTTGCGAAGGATCAAAATTGTGATTGCATGCCTGCAGATCATCCTCAGGGATGTCTTCCAGATCATCGCCAATAACCAATTGTGCAGCTATAGTGCAATGTAAATAAAACAAGTACTTCTAAGAAAAAATAATTAATGATACCTGCATTAATTAAAATAAATAAATAACGTTGAATTTTATTAACTTGTAGGAAAAGTACAAGCAAAAGCATCAAGAAAGTACATTCGTTACTTGACAAAAAGGTAAAAATATCCTCACGTAAGCCAGTTATTACGTATATGTATCAGTTTATCATATAAACAGTAATGCGTTTAAAAAATAATTTGTCTTTCTCCTAATCATCACGTTTAACGCCGATTTTCAAGTGAGAATGATTTTCTTATCAAAATAATTGATAAGTAGATCCAACTTCAGTCTAATCAAAACAGATGCTTGATAAATCTAAAGTGACAGAGCCACGTGGACTTCTGAGTTTATTTTTTGTACATTCGTTTTTTAGTCTCAGTTCCTTATGTAGTACAAATTAAAAACAGCTGTCTTTTTGAAGCATATAAAGAGGATATGTTACCAGCGAAAGTTAAATTTGTTTTTACTTTGATCACATTTGCTGTTTCAATTTGCCACGCAAAAACGTATGTTGCATTTAATAATTTTAAAGTGCTTGATTATGTATTAATAAAGAGCTGTCTATGTGCATAATAATTAATTAATATCAGACAAAAAATAACATAGTTTATTTGATATTTGTTATTTGATAAGTTAAAAACAAACTTGCTACAGTTATTGTTTAGTTTTTGATTTGAAAATGGGATAGAAATAAATGATTTTTTAAAACTTTAATGGTTAAAAATTATTGAAAACATTCTTAGCCTATTATTTTAATATACAATATTACATGTTTTTACTGCAATCATCGATCTCCACCATATCTATATGTATTGTTGTTGTTGTTCATTTACGTCACACTAGAGCTGTACAATGGGCTATTGGCAACTGTCTGAGAAAAAACATCCCTGAGGATGATTCGAAGACATGCCATCGCAATTTTGATCCTCTGTAGAGGGGATGGCACCCAACGACCTGCACGCGAAATCGAGCACTTTACGGTGGAACAGTTAAACGAGGACCAATACAGCCCACCCTCGGTCTCTACGCAGAGCGATCCAAGTGGTCATCCACCCACACACTGACCGTAGCCAGTGATGCTTGACTTCGGTGATCTGCTGGGAACCGTGTCTTAACGATCACTTAGACATTTAAAATGT